CACTGTATAAAAGGTATCCACGCAGATAACCATAAGGATTATTATTCGTCGTCCTAAAATTTTTTATTCGTTACCTTAATTAATGTTTTAGATGAGTCATTTTCAAAAGAATCATTTGTATAATTTTACCATTTTGTCCTTACATTTACTATGTTCCCTTATTTTGTTTCCTATTCTAATAAAAACCTCCCACGTTTTTTTTTTTCAACCAACAGAACATATTATTTGGGTATTTTCCATTATAATAATACTTTCTAACTTTAAATAATAATTATAAGTTAATTTTTTTTAAGAAAGATAACGTCTCCATAAGTCTCGAATTTTAAACTAATTACAAATTGTAGTAATTGTGAACGTGAATGATGTACTGTTACGTAGATGACCCTCTTCGTCGCTAGTGAAATTTGGGGGGAAAGAAAAAAATAATTCTGAGAGGAGACGGATCAATGACATTGAAAACAAATAATATAACGAGAAGGATAGAAGTTGGTTGACATAAAATCGGCAAGGACATAGTTGAAACATTTAGACTAAATAATGAGTCGTTTGTAAATGACTCATGGATAGGAGATATTTGAAAATGACTCAGGGATAAGAGAGACATTTGGAAATGACTTGATAGAGTCATTTGTGACATTTGTATGGAGGAAATGACTCATGCGTTTTTTTTCTTTAGCAAACGAGTCATTTGACATCAAATGACTCATACGAATGACTCAAGCAAACGACCCCTAATTTCAATCTAGAGCCACTCGGTTGTATAAAAGAAAAAAAGGGGCATACGATTCTTCTTCTTCCTCCCCACTATCAACAACAGCGACGGGATTGAGGTGGGCACCGGATTTGGGTGTGGGAGGGATGATGGTCAGCGCAGGGGGAAGGAATGGTGCGTCTCACGAACAGTGTCAATAGCCTTGACGACTCGTTTCGCATAATAGAGTTTTGGATAGTCGTGTGGACAGGTTTGAGGCTCAATTCATAATGTTGACTGGTCAAAAAGTCAATTGAATGGTGAGATGAATATAATGATGCATCTTCTTCAGAATTTGAAACAACCAACCATTGTAATTCATGCGAGGTCGGACATCCTCTGTCGGTGGCGCAGAATGCAGATCACGACATCTTGCTCTTTGCCTATGGTTAAGGCTCCTCCCTTGAGAGTTAAGGTGGTCGATGGCACTGTATTGATGAGTCAAGTTTGCTTGGGAAATGCATCAACGCCAATTCATTTGCGATTTTAGACTCCTAAATTTGGGAGATAATGATATGGTGTTGGGGGTTAGAGTGGTCAAGAAAAACCAGCCCAATTAAGTTTAAATTTGTAAATTTGCAGCTTTCCTTTGTAAAAGGATTGTCAGGAGGTGGTGCTGAAGGGAGTTTAGGAGACCGACCGCAGAAAACAATTCCAAAAGTTTTGCAGGAAGGATATAATGTCTTGGGTATGTCATTATCAATTGTTTAGCATCACCACAGTTGTCCAAAGATGATATTCCTTCTTTTCTTATACTTGTTGTGAATGAGTACAAGGAAGTGTTTGGCAAGGCTACTTCTTTACCCCTTCTCGTGATTGTGACCATACCATTCCTCTTAAACCCGATTTTCAACTTGTTAACCTTCGTCATATCGTTACCCTTTCCCCATAAAGTTGAAACCGAAAGATTACCGATGAAATTCTAACAACTGCCCTTATTCAAGGGAGTAGGAGTCCTTTTACCTCTCTTGTGTTACTACTTTCCAAAGAGGATGATACATATAATTTTTTTTATCAACTGCAGGCAACTCAGTTCAGTTACTATTAAGGATAAGTTTCTCATTCCAGTAATCGATTACTTACTATATGAGTTGGAGAATAGGTAGGGTAATGGATAAGTGTTTGATATGACTGGTTTCCCATTTTAGTAATTGATGACTTACTAGTTGAGTTGAAGAATAGCCAAGATGGCTTAACACTCCCCTTCCCATTGGAAAATTGCTTGTCCCAAATTTAGCATGGTAACCCATTTTAATGGATTTCATTAAAGGTTTTCCTAAATCTGCAGGGAAGGAGGTGATCTTGGTGATTGTTTACTAAATATGGCCACTTTTTTCACCTAATCAGACCATACTCAAATGCTAGTGTTGCTCATATTTTCATGGATGGAGTTTTCAGGTTACATGGGATCCCTCAAACTATAGTGAGGGATAGGGATTCAGTGTTCACTAGTACTTTCTCGACCACTTTGCTTGCCCTACAAGGTGTGGATTTGTTATTTTCTACAACACATCGGGAAATGTTCAAAAATTTCTTGCAAGACAAGTCACATATAAGATCATGAAATCAAGCAAACACATGCGCATTCATCCTAGTCTACATAATACTCTACCTCTCCTTAAGGAATCTTATTCCCCTATAGTACTCAAGATTACATAATGATTCCTCCGAGGATAAAAAGGTCGTACCTTTTTGACGTAGTGGTACCTCAAACCTCGGAAACAAACTAGCACAATGAATCAGTGAGAACCACACTGACTCGAATTTTCTTTTGGAAAGAATGCAGAAAAATTCAATATGGATTTTGACAGAGATTTGGTGAAGAAAAAACATATCTCTTTTCTGTATATAAGTAGGGCTGGAAGTTTGGTACCGATATTTGGGATATATCGGATACTGTACCGAATTTATCACTATTTGGTATCACCGAATACCAGCTTACTTTTTGGGATTGTGATTCATTTTGGAATGTTATTCGGGATTATGGGATTGGGATCGGTATATACCGATATACCTAGAAATATCAAAAATTAAAACTTAATGAAATATAGCACACAACCTTTGGTCATTCCTTACCCTCTCACAACTTAGAAGCCCCCATTTAACTTAATTTTAGCTTTCCAGTTTAAGTAACTCCTCTCACCCAATTTCTTGTTATTTTCATAACACAAAAAGCAAACACTAGTATTAGTTGTCTCTCAGACTCTAATTCGTCAAATTAAAGATTAACAATGACAAGAATTTGAGATGTCACCTCTCCTCCATTCTCCTTATCCATATCCTAGTTCTAGGCAAACTCAAGACTCTTTGCTTAGTCTCTTTGCCCTAGATTAAATAATTAAATATAATTTAGATATTTAAATATTGATTACAAAGGTAATTAATTTTGTATTCGATAATACCGATTGGGATGCTGAAATATTTAGGGATTGGGATACCGAAATTATTTAAGGATTGAGATTGATTTTAAGGTGTAATTCGGTATTCGAGATTTCAGTATTTAGTATTAGGATACCTATATCGTACCGATTTTCACCCATATATATAAGACCATAGGAGTTTGGTGCTATTTATAGAAAATATAGGGTTTTGGCGCTTCAATGATCATGCTTGCTGTGGATTGATCAAGTTTAAGTTTGAACATTCAAATGATGCATCCTGATGTCTTTTCTACATGCTATAGGATTAGAGGTTGGTAAATCATAGTAGCATGCGTACGAAAGGAGGCGACTGTTCAAGTCAGTGGTTACACCTCAATCATTGCATTAGTTTATTTGAAGTTTCTTAACCATTGCATAGGTTAGGTTCATGGTAGTTGGATCAATTAGTTTATTCCAACCGCCAAATCAATTTTTTTTATTTAGTTTGGTCTAGTTGGTTACACTAACCAATTTGATTAATTACCTAAGGATTTAATCTAATCAAATCGAGCGAATATGAGGCCTCGCCTTCACACATCACCAACATGGTACTTCAAAGTTAATGAATTCAGGAGATTTTGGTTTTCTCGATGACAACCTTGCTCATTGTTGCTTCCTACCTTTGCAGCTCGCTCTCCATACCACCTTGATCAACGATTGGAGGAATTCTGCTCTCTCGACGGCGGAGATTTCTAGGGTGGCTGACGCATATGAAACGACGGGCGGGTGGATCTGGAGGTTGAGCTGCGGTGTGGAAATTGGAGGGGAGGAGGAGGAACATGGGAAAAAGGGTGATGAGAGAGACGTGAGGTTGGGAGGAAGAAGATTTCTGTATTTATGTATTTTTTGTTAATCCACGTGGATTGGTGGGGACGAAATGTCGTCAATTCAACATTTTCGTCAGTCCAGCCAGTGTGAAGTGACACCGTTAAAGAGATGGTCGGAAGTGGCTATTTTCTATATTTTGAAATTTTTGGCTATAACTGTTGCAAACGTAAAAATTGTGTCTATGAAAGTGTATTTTACCTTGTGCCCTTGTTATAAAGAAAATGTAGGTAGACAATCTCTCATTAGCAATTTCATCTTTTGATAGAAAATTGATAATCACTCATTTTGAGTGATTGTAGATGAGCTCATAAAAAATGTAATACATAATAATAATAATAATACATGTATTGAATTTCAAATTCAAATTTAACCAATAAAATGACTTAATATGTATTTGACTAAATAAATCACTCAAAATCCCAAGGAAGAAACCTATCTCTCCATTCAAAATTTTGTTGCAAGTACGCCTTTTAATTTCCAATTTAAGCTACCCCTACCTTGTCCCTCGGTCTTGGCTGGCCACCTTGTCGAAGTTCCACCACTCCATTTTTTCCTGTGTATTCATCTTTTGATCGCCCTATATCTTCTCCCGAATCATTTCTTATTCACCGTACCTCAGCGCCGCCTCCACCTCATTTGCTCTCTTCCCTAAGCCGGCTTGTCCTTCTCCTTCGCGGGAATCACCAGGGCGCTGCTTCAGCTGGCGAGATTACGTTATAGGTTAGAATTAGGGTTTGGTTTATCAATTCCGAACCTTACCTGCGAATTCCATAGCTCTAGTTTAAAAGCTAGGAGGATGACAAGTAATTTGAGCACCCCATGATTTTTTGTCGCCGATTAGTGCTGGTATGAGGGTAAATGGCTATTCTTGTGGTAATTGCAGTTGGGCACCGTGGGAACTGTTATAGACATTTTGCTTACCTGATGTTGCTCAATGACTATATTGCTTATTTGGTTTTGTTTTGCTTCTTTTGAAGGTATAACTTCGGTGATCAGGAACGATGGAAATACAAACAAGCGGCAAGCCCATTGACTCGTTTTTGGAGAGGGTCCTGTGTATGAACATTCTCTCTTCCGATTACTTCAAAGAGCTTTACAGGTTAAAGACGTACCATGAAGTGATCGATGAAATTTACAATCAAGTTGACCATGTGGAACCATGGATGACGGGGAACTGTCGTGGGCCGTCAACTGCCTTTTGTCTCCTCTACAAGTGTTTTACCATGAAACTCACGGTCAAGCAGATGCACGGCCTATTAAAGCACAAAGATTCACCTTATATCAGAGCGGTAATGTTGCTGTTCCTATATGTTTGTCTGGTTAGAGTTTAAAATTGCTGAATGAATTGCATTCCTATAATTTATCCTATGCGCAGGCTGATGCATAATCAAAAGGTTTGATCTTGTGATACCGCTGGATCACTTGCTAAATATTTTTTGAAATAAGATTAAGAGGGTGCAGAAGAAGAGGCCCCTTTGCTTGAGCGTAGAAACTGTGAGTACTCGCAGTAGCGACTAATGTTTTCTTAGCTGCTGTCTTTGAGGGAGTTTACCTTCTCGTCTCTTTTATTTGATCCACATGGTCAACCTCAAGTTGGGATTCATAGCAGAAGCCAGTTCCCTTGTATTTTCTGTTTTCTGATGAAGTTACACTTCTGTGTAGACTTAAATGTAATTAAATGAATATGCTACAAAGTTAGCACTGTAGCCACATGAGCGGCCCTGTTTGGTCAGGATGTGTAGAAGTTCCCTGGTAACGACTTTGGATGTCAGCCTAAATTGATCCAGAAACCTCTAGTTCGCTGTTTATATTTCTTGTTTGATTAATGAGTCCTTAGTGAATGACGTGTTTGATAGTACATTTTGTAATGGAAGTGGGCCACTATGTGTTGCAATTCTCATTCATATTTCTTTCCATCCCAAGCACCAGACCTTTATGTTATCTGACAAGTAACTAGTACTTGTAATTGTTGAGAGAACGCACAAGAACGTATTTAGGTATTTTGTGTTGTAAGGGTTAGCAACAAAAAACCCAAAAGCCCCAAATACATTCTTGATATTCTGATGAAGTAGCATAAATTATCATATTCTTGTTGCCCCTACGGAATTTTGTACCTCCAGATTGACTTGGCCTTCTTTCTGTTAGCTGATTAGATGTTCTAACCTCTGCATAGTGCTGCCATTGTTACCCTGAGAATACAAGGTTTGGGGAGTCTGTCGTCTTCTCACTTTGAAAGCTTCTAGTGGTTAATCAATCCTTCTGTTGTTTCCGACCAGCTTCTTGCTAATCTATCTGCTATTGCTAACTCCAGACATGTGTAAACCAAGAATGTGAAATTTTTCCCTCTTTGTCAGCTGGATCAATTAGTGCTCATGTTCACTTGAGACTTAAGTAATTATGAGGCTTCATATAAAAAAAAATGTAATATGAGGCTTTTTGGCATATGTGATTATGGCATTCACTTATATTCATTGGGTATCCTAACATCTACGTACTTGACGGTCTGCTGCATAAGTGTATCTCGAAGCAGATACCTACTTCATGTTAACTTTAGCTTGTGATGTTGCGTAATTGGTATCTTGTAATTTGATTACAGATTGGATTCCTGTACTTGAGATATGCTGCAGATCCTAAGACAATGTGGAACTGGTATGAACCATATATTGAAGATGATGAGGTACTTTCTTGTGGCACAATCTGGATAAAACCTACAAAAAAATATTTCCATTTTTGCTTGGGTTCTGTCATACATGCTTGAGTTTATATGTTAGCTGTAATTGAATGTGATAGTGATGTTCAAACAGATATTTTAGGAAATGTGGATAACTGTTATCTGCCATTTACTGAATCTGAAAGGTGTGAAGCAATTCCTGATTTCTGTTATCAATTTAACAAAAATCCTGAATAAGTCTTTAGTGTCTCGCACACTTAGAGTTTTCCTATCCTTGCTGAGAAATCTAGTACCACCCTTTAGGATGTTCAGGAGCATATGCACATGTGCTTTTGTTATGTTTGTACCAGCCCTCTTGATTACTTGCATCATGGCTTCATCACCTATAGCTACTATTTCTAGTTTTCCGTAGAACATCCTATTGTTCTTACCTTTTGTTGTACTTTCATGCTAGGAATTTTCTCCAGGATCAAGTGGCCGGAAAACTACCATGGGTGTTTATGTTCGCGATCTGATCCTCGGACAGGTAGGTTACTTTCTCCTCCTACTCGATTCTATTCCATTCTGAATAGTAGTCTCACGTTGAGGCTGATTTGTATAATGCCATTTTATATGATTTTTTTATCTATTTTTTGCAGTACTACTTCGATACTCTATTCCCCCGAGTTCCTGTGCCTGTAATGCGTCAGGTTGTGTCCAATCTTGAAAAGATGAAACTTCCTGCCAAATCATCAGGCTCAACAGGGGATAATAGCCGCCATGGCTCAGAGGAAACTGCTCGTCGGCCGCCTTCCGTGAAGGCTGCACTTTCAGTGTCCTTTGGTCAGCGTGCCCCACACCGGGCGTCAACTAGGGACTCATCACCTGTTCGCCGAACACTACCACACCCTCCTGCTCATGAGAGAAGAACCAATGATAAGCGGAGATCTCCCAGCAGCCATCGCAGCCAGAGTCGTGACAGAGACCTTTCTAATAGGGATCGGGACAGGGAAAGGGAGAGAGAGAAAGATAGGGGCAGAGAGAGGGAGAGAGAGAGGGATAAGGACAGGCGGTATGATTATGACCGGAGGTCAAATTATGGTGACCGAGAAAGTAGAAGGGATCATGGAAAGAGTGGCAGAGATGATAGCAGATATCACAGGGATCATAGTAGTGGTCACAAAAGTCGGAGTAGGAGTCGTAGTCGCAGCAGGAGCAGGAGCAGAAGCCGAAGCATGCAGGTAGGAGTCCCCACACCGTTCGATCGGGATGGAAACAAGGAGAAGTCATCTTCTACCTCCAGCCATCTTGCGAAACTAAAGGATTTGTATGGCGATTTAAGTGACGAGAAAAGAGGTGACACAGAAATGGAAAAGGGTCCTATCAGAAATAATGGTGGCAGCGAAGAGGTGATTAGACTGGGTGGTTCTAGTTGGAAGTGGAAATAGTTTCCAGAACAAAGAACTTGGTGTATTGTTGATTCAAAGTGTATCATTTGTTTAATAAGTAAGGCTAACTTTCAACTGTTTGAAAGCAGATTCTCGGGCTCGCTACGATGACCACTTCTCATGTAATCCTTGGGGCAGTTTGCTGTCCAAATTTAATACATGTTTCTTTCACATTATATTCACTCTTATAGGGTGATGGCGTTGTTGAGTTCTTAAGAGAAGCGCAGCGCAACTGTTGGTCAATTTGTGAGGAACTAGTGCCAGCGGTGGATTTACCAGTTGGTCAATTTGTGGGAGAGGGTATGTCTTGTTTTGGAATGTAAAATCCACACACATGCGTCACTACTCATTCGCCTTCTATACACTATTATGACATTGATGAATCATGTCTAGTAAGTCACGTCTTTGATGAATCAAGTTTAGAGAGTGCAAGACCTACGGGTTTACAACAACTTCCATGCAACTTTGAGCAATTTTTATAAGCTTTAGCTTTTCAGGTTCCTTTGAGAAATTTCAACCTTCGTTATCTTGTGCGTGTGAATTCGTAGTATGACTCGAAGCACCGCGGTATCGATAGGTTTATCATCTCTGTCTTGATCATCTTCCTTCCTTCGAGTGCTCATTCAATTGAATTATTGGTTTGGTTGCTTAGGATTTTATCAACCATATCTATCTTTTGTGTTCTTTGATTTCTTCTTTGTACTCTGGCATTATATAATTTGTGTACTCTTATTTAAGGAGACTAATACCAACTTATTGCCTAGGCTTGTATGAACTCGTTACTATGTGTCCTATTCCAACCATCATGAAACAAAACCAAAAATGCTGAAAGAATATATTGTCGTATGATCAACAGCATAAACAAAGAATGTTCATTAGAGATCTCAGTTCTAATATTCTTTCGATTTTCGTCCAATCTGGTCTGAAAAACTCATGGCTGACTGGAACAAAAAGTGAACAATAGTCACTAATCTAGCTATCTTGTTATCCTCATCGTACTTACAAGGTGTCCTATCCGACTAAGAGAGAAAGTTCTTTCAATCTCGTTTCAGGGCCTTTGTGATGAAGGTTTTTGCGATTGCAATGGCAATGTAAGCCAACACTGTTGCAGCAATACCCGCAAGCAAAATGAGCCTGTCGAGACTAGCTTCTTGAACTTCATAAACCCTCAGGCCAATATTGTCCCAGTTGCTCTCTGTCCAAACAGGGTCTATCTTCGCCATGGGATCAGATGAATTTGGAGGCAGAACTGTCCATACTCCAGAACCGTACTTCAATCTGGTTGAATAGGCCGGTACGTACCTGCATGAGTACAATCGTCACATACTGATTACTGAACATACAGCTAACTACCCAGCAACACCCACCATCCAAGTGCCCCTTGTGAATTTCCAATACAGACGTTGCAAAACAGACGTGCAAAACAGATTTAGGGGGGACACCATGCTCATTTTCAAACGAAAATCGATTCCATGTAATAGATTCAAAAAGACATGCATAATTCCAAGGGAGCGCACAAATTAATTATAATTACCTGGTTGTGGAAGTAACACAGATGCCTTTTGTTTCTGCTTTAATGCACACCTCACCCTTGTTGCTACAGTCCTGTGAACAGGCGGATCTACTATTTTTCTCAAGTGCAGATGATTTATCAGCCAGAAAGTTCCATACGAACCTGGAGACATCATTAACGTATCCAATGTATGGAGTTGAGGAAGGCTCCCCAAGGACCACGCCGACATAATGAACAGGACAAGTTGCACTTGGGGTTATGTACTTCTTCACCAGCTCACAAGACAGACCAGGATCACACTGTAGCAGACAACTCAGCATCTCTTCGACTAGAGAGGCATTAATACTGATGGAATCTAGAACAGAGCTCCTTATATTTTTGTTCTCGTTTACAAGGATGTAAAGTGTGCGGGCGACAAGAGATGCAGCCGCCACTATGGATGATGAGTTTATGTTAGCTGCATTCAAATGCATATAGAGACAAAGGTTACCATTAAATTCTGCACTCAAGTTCATTTTCCAATATCAGAGACCATATGTATACACACAAACAAACCCATGGTAGGAGTCCAACAAAACATAAATAAACTCACACGGATCATCAAGATGACTGTGGTAAAACTTGTTGCTGAAAGCAGCATCAAAATCTTCCAATACAAACCCAGAAGTTGATGAGTTCTGCAGTAAAAGAGAAGCCTTCAGTTATTAACAAGGGAGTGAAAGCTGTCAGCATGTTGCATTTCCACGTAATAGACAGGAACGTCTTCACCAGACAAACATGTACACTGTCTTCTGCACCCAGGAACATGACTCTCAGTTTGCCATCCATCTAATGTAAAATTGGCACGGTGCTGATCTTCTTTCCCCGCAAAAGCATAATTTATTGTATGTCGAACCCCCTCAAGATTTATCTTCTGCACAATCTTAATTCTTTCCATGAGCTCACTTAAATCCATACCTGATCATATGCTTTTACAGTGCAGAATGTGGCTATGAATTTTTTTCAAGCATTCTGGGTGTGGGGACAAGAGGCCTCCTATCGTTGAACATACTATAATCTAACTATGCATGCAAACATTACAAGATTGACGGTAGAAAAACCATAGGAAACGAATGAGAAGGGATTAATTTGGATGGTTTAAAAGCAGTAGCAAGGTACTCCATGGACAAAGATGAAGTGTAGTATAATGACTAACAATATATACAACTTCACAGAGACAAACCTTCTTCACAAATGCCATAGAGGATGACGGCGGTATCCCAGGGTTAGATGTGCTTGCCAATGAGACTGAAATATTCTGGGACCCCAGTGAAACTTCAGCACGTTTCAAGGCATTCAAAGTTGCATTTGTTGCAGATGAAACCTGCAATATTGCATGGGATTAGGCAACCAATTAACACAGCTTTCTTGCTAAAATATCATGGAGTCAAACAACAACAGTTTCGATAACATTGTCATGCAAAAAGAGGGTCACAACTTCACAGTGAAATATGCTCAACAGGGGTTGTAAGGCCTTAACAAACATAGTTAGAGTTAAAGATGCTTTCAAAGGGATTAATCCACTCCAATACAGATGTAATATGAGTCTTGACTTTTGAGCGCAAGCTTCATCAAATTACAGAGCCACACAAGATATGGCACCACAGGCTCAATAAGTCACCATGGCATTTGCTTTGCCGATGAAGCTTCATACAATAATGACGATAAACCTCCAAGGCATAGTCTGGTTCATAAGTATACAATCATCTGCTTTCTCCCTCTTTCAACCCAAGGTATATCAGAAACAGAACAAATACAAAGCAAACAAGTGCTGGAAATGAAATTAAGGGTGGGGAAAACTCTATGAACACTAAAACAAAGATCATGGAAACAAATACTGATTGACGGTAGGAAAATTATTAGTGAGAAGACAGATTTCATACCCCGGTGGTATGAGCAAAGAATGTTTCGGTCCCTTGATTGAAGGCCCTTCCAACTGATCCGATTTCAATGACCTTTTCAATAACATAGTACAACATCAAATGTCACTCTCTTAGGCACTATACAAGTAATAGGTTATAGAAATCATACTTGCTTCTTCATTTGCATCAATCTAATTTTTAGCGCAATGATAAACATATATGTCGGAGAATACCATCTCAATCAGTTTGCTATCAAGGCCCCTAACAGCTTCTGACTGCAAATCAAGTTCGAGCAAAAATCGCCTGCTACCAAGATATCCCCATGTTTCTCCAGTAAAAACTGCAAAAACAAGCTAAAAGTACAACAACAGTCTAGAACAATCAACAAAATGATTTGAAATTCGTGTGATGAACAGAACATACCAGCAAAACAGAACAATAAAAAAAACAACTAATAATAGTACAAAAGCTGTTTTGTAATATTCTTCACTGTATCAGTAACCTAAACCATTTAGACCTGGGGGCAGCATTTTACTTCATGTTGAAAGAACATAGAAAAAGTAGGTCACTACTGTTCCCGACAGTATTGTACAATTTTAACTTATACTGTATTATTTATTATTGCCTTACAAGCTGCTCGACTATGTGGAATTATATATGTTAGTACCTTATGCACATATCATCCAACACTTACAGAAGCTGTACATGAACAGGTCAATTCTTGCATCAATTTCCTCAAAATTTCTATAACAAATAGCTAACATATCAGACTACAAAACCCAATGTGAAGGCAGACACTCAAAGTTTAACTTCAAAACACAGAAAGGACGTACAAACAAAAGAAAATTGAAACAGACAACAGGGCTACTTGGGGGTGGGGGCTAAATCCACAACCTATGATGTAAATTGTTTATTCCAATCATATGTGGCACCCTCTAGCCCCCCCAGACTTAAGAACTCAATTAAATGAGGAATAAGAAACAAATATTGGCAGGGCCGCAGGTATAAAGCTGTACAAATCCAACTGTAATCTATTGAGATGTCAAATTAAAATGATTGATACCTGTTTACTAAGTTCTCCTAAAGCATCCACACGAGAAAGCGAATCAACTGCTGCAAGCAATGCAATCAGCCCCTAAAAGAGTATTGAACATGGGTAAGGCACAGTATTTACAGGAGGAAATTATAGCGGAAATGACAATTTTTCAATGGAAGTCAAAGAACTTGCACTCACAGAAATAGGAGATTCTGAACCCAAGTTTTTATCACGGAAGAGCGATCCAGAATCCATAGATGCCACTGTTAATATAGTGGGCTTCACTTGCTTTGACGATGATATATGGATTGGTGGGAGCGATGACCAAACACTGCCCTTCATAAGGGAGATGCGTAATTAAAGTTTGGCTAAGCTCACTCCTAAAAAATTCAACAGATATAGACTGTTCTCAACAACATCGAATCCATTTAGGTGCCTGTGGCTGAATAGCTGGGACGATATGAGAACATACCAAAAACATTAGCACTTTTAGTGGGATTAGTTTGATTGGTTCACGTCACCAACTTAAGTACTTAACAACCATACCCATGCCAAGAACTAAAATTACATAAGAGAACAACCATAAACCACATTGGTTATCGGTCTCTGAGCCTATTGACTAACCTAGGAGCTTTGGAATCGAGGATCCATGTATTTATATATTCATTCGTCTTTTCACAATTCATCATGTCCGTGCAGGAGAAATCTGCCGAGATTCTTTGATGATCCTCTAATCTGCTGAGTGTCTTTTCACCATGCATTACCATATGCAGTTTTGCATTTAAACACTGGGTTACTGAACTGTCAACTGACTACTTTGATGATCCTCTAATTTGGATTTTTCTTACATTTCCTCGAAATAGGGTGCTTCCAAATATGCCTCAATCAAGCAAAAACTAGCTGATAAGTATAGATTACAAACCAAAGAAAACAAAAGCACTATTCCACGGTATGCTCAATGCCCACACACCACACAACTCAGTTATATCAGGGTAAGAACAATGCCTCAGTGAGTATAAGATATCATATAGTAAGTGGAAGAACAGATAAAGTGAGCTCTTGATCAAGTTGAACTGATTTGTGAAAATACGAAATGCAGATAACTACATATTTCATATCTAACCTGTATCCCCCTAATGGGAGGCAAGTCCCCTCCTTCAAACAAGACTCTGAGTTGTGTGTGCCGTATTTTGTCGTCTACAAGCAAACCCATCAGATACAATATATCTAAATGTATATTTTTAGAACTAATTCACTTATACTATAGAGAAACAAAGATGCAAGTTATGATGAAGCAATGTATACATGTACCTGCATCACCAAATCAAATTCAGCCATGTTTGAGGTATGACCTTCGGTTTTCTTCTCATTCTCCTTAGCAATCTGCATGAGAATGCAACAGTATAAATGAAAAGTGGGATGTATATCTCATGTGCACACTACAACTAAGTCATATACTAAACTGGGAAATGAAAACTGTCATAAACTACTGGGATTATCTTAGCTAAGTGCACAAGGAGACTCAAATTTGTTCGCCTAACAACACAATCTTCCTTTCTTGAAAGAATAAATGCAATTTATTGCTGGAGAAGTATTGATTTACCTTCTTCATGATCGGTGTGCTATCGTTCGTCAGTAAGAAGATTGGAAAAGTATAAGTGTTCCACAAAATACCAGTTCCCTGTAAATACACATGATTGTATCCCAAATCAAACAGATGCAATGATATATGTATCATTACATATGTTGGGCTCTGTAACACATCAACCAACTCCCAATAATTTCAAGGGATGCTCAATGTCCAAGTCAAAAGTTATCTTTCTTCCAAAAACAATGACTAAGATAGATAAAGAACATGTTACTAGTATTAGCTCACATACTTGAAGCCTCCGGCTGTATCATATCATTAGAAATGAAAGAGACATTCAGACTTCCGGAACCTCTATTTTCTCTGACTGAACATATGCTTTGGGTGTAATGATACATCCAGTACATCACCCTGCTTAAGCATGTAAGAATCCTATCTCTATCAATGCCGAATTCAGAAGTACTCATCAAATGAACAATTTAATTTAACCAACTAGTTACGGGTCATCAAGATTATGAAGGTAACACCTCTCATTGTAGAAGCTAATAAAGATAGCACATCTCAGTCTATAAGCTTAAATCATGGCAAAGCAAAGTAATAAATGGTACTGACTACTATTCATGCTGCAACTTGAGAAAAAAACACTAGATCATTGCTAAGCGTACTATTGGGTTCCACTCGTAATTGATGCTCTGATAAGGGGAAAATTCAGCCAGTGGAAACTTGCGATCTGGAGAGAATCCTGCAAGCGAAATAAATATCAGTAGTGTTGACCTACGTAACCTTATGTCTGAGAACCTTTGTCCTATCAGGAGGCTTGCACTTAGCAGAAAACTGAATTTACCTTTAAATTCATTTGGTATACCAGTCCCAGATTCAACTAAAATACCACCAATATTCTTGGAAAGTCCTGGATCCTTTGATATTCTGTAGAAAAAAGTGACGTCTGACAATGTGATCTCAATGAAATAACTACTGGGATGAATCACGATTACAAAAGGAATACAAAATCAACAACCATAAGAGCATGGATAAAGGTAATGACTATTGTCAGAATGAAAGCCATGCTACAAGCAGCCGAAGGATAATTAAAGACATCAGACTAGCTAAGGGATTGTGGTTCAGCAGTGTTACTTCCGAAGAGTTTCAACACCTAACCAAATAAGGAGAGGGATTTCCTATCTTGAAGCAAAATAAGCAAAAAAAAGTAGGGGAAAAAACAAGTCCAACCTAAGGTTCCACATTTCCTGTTCTCATTGTTGGCCACAGAGTGGCAGCGATAGCAAGATGCATTTTCAATCTTCCAGCCAAACAGGATAAAACATAAAAGTTCACCAAACGAAGGATTCGACCAACATTTTCCGCAAAGACCTATGGGAAAGTTTTTTCAACCGTTCATATGGTGGTTTTGTACTCGTAAAGGCCAAGTTGGACAGTTGGAGTTAGCTTTACCAGGAAATAGGCAAATGCTTCCCCTTCTTGTCCTGTTTATCATACTTACTATACTTGTTTCGGCAGCAAAGAGACACTAGAGAAATATTAGCTCAATTCTTGAATGCAGTTCACGATGTCGACACTAAAAACACAAGCAGTATGCAAGCGCTGACAATCGCGATCAAACATAGCACAAACAAACTTTGTTTCCACCGTAACTTTAATGCATGTGTCACCAATTTCCGCAGCCTGCAAAGGCTAGCTACCTCAACTTCAATCACCACACCCTAAGAGACATAAAGCAAAGGAAACAAAAGGAAGTGGAGGTGGCAATTGCAGAAACCATGCCTATCAAAAAGTTCGCCCATTCGATCAAGTGAAACCAGAATAGCAGACGGACGAGCCAAATCAAGACCAGTCTGATATCTCACAACCGGAGCAACAACCTTGTCTCTCCCAGGATCTGTCATAAGGGGAAAAGCAGCCCAAGTTCAAGCATTTCTTCGCGTCACAGCAGTAAGATAGCAGTGAGAGAGAAACGAAGCTGTTTTGAAAGTGTTATCTTACTTGCACAGCCTATTTCCCCAGAGAGATTGAGTAGGCGAACGCAAGGGACGCCATCGACGACCCTGTACATGGAATTCTGGAGATCGGGAACGGACTCCATTGATTTTGCTTGTCCTGAGATTTCCCGGACGCACTGGGACAGCAGAAACAACCCTACTAACATGAAGTAGAACTTCATCGGAGCGGAAAGAGAACAGCCGGCGAGAAATTCCAACCAAGGAAGAGGCCGTCTTTTTGTAGGAGTGGACTGGAAATGCTGAAGTTGAAAATGCACAGTTGAGAATGAACGGAGACGCACGGCAGAGGGTAAACCGGGTTGGGTGGGTTTGTTCTCAAATCTACCCCTCGCTTACTAGCGATTTGATATAATTGTGATTCGTTAATCAACTATGTTCTTTTGCAAGTAGAGTTTGGTGAATGGTGAATGAGTGCGGTTGGATATGGATTAACCCGTAAAAGTAATTCTTCAGCTAACCATTAAAAAATTTCATTATACTTATAAAAAAACAATGATTGTATATTAGTAAGATTGTATCAATTTATACAATTCTCAGAGACAAAGTTTGTCTCGTATGAATCTATGTAGTTTTTGCATTAAATTTTTCAATACTCTACCAATCACTTGTGTAGAGGAATTTAGAAAAGTGGTGCATTTTACGACTTGATAAAATTAATAGTTTATAATTTGTATTAATATCTAATAAATATTACCCGACACAACAACCAATAACAGTAGTCCAAAAATATTATTATTCTTCATTTTAGAAGTAGATGTTCATTGTATATTGTGTAGTGCAGTTAAGAAATATGATGAGTACTCGAGCATAAGAAATAATATTTTGTCATGTAAAAATATAGTGCGGGTCATGCGAGTGACTTGCAATCCACCCACCACCCACCCACATAAGTGCGGGTAGGAGGTTTATCAATCCACCAATATCAATCATCCACTGCTTGCGGTTCGGGTTATTTGCAGGTGGATCGATATCAACGCATATGTAGTGTAATGTTTTCCCTTTAAATCACATACCCATATGGATCGACCTTCCCCGACTCGTAATCAATTGTGTAGAGAAAAATTCAGGCATTTTGTGACTTTGATACAATTAATAGTTTATAATTTGCATCCCAATATCTAATGGATATTACACAACATAGTAACTACTTATAGTCGTTAAAAAATATTCTTTATTCTCGACCTATAGAAGTCGATGGTCAATGTGTAGTTCGATTAGGAAATACAATGAATATTCGATAGTATAAACAAGAAACAACTTATCGAGTAACATATGATGCAGGTATTCTGGTGACCCGCAATCCACCCACCCGAGTAAGCGTAGGTAAGAGGTTTATCAATTTACAATCCACCCCATCAATCACCAATTCAATGCGATTTGAGTTATTTGCTGGTGGATTGTGTCAAACTGCGAATTAACCACTCAAGTGTCCACCCTAGTAAATTTTATTGGCTTTTGTTTTCTTTTTTCTTTTTTATTTCGTAAATTATGGGATCTAACATAGGGGGTTATGCACACTTGTATAACCAAATATAGACCTTAATTTTAAGTGGAGCCAAGTCAAGGGGTGATTTTAATTGATTTTTATTTTTTGTACTTTTTAATCAGTTTTTATCTTTTTGTTTTAACTTTTATTTCAAAAAATTGTGCACATATAGAACGGAATCGTTGTGATCTAAAAATGGTATTCATTTTCAATAGATTGTGAGAAATTTTTTTCGCACCACCCATACAATTAGTTGCTAGTTGCTACCCTAGTACCACTATGTACCACCTTCATTTTCAGTAAAATTTTGAAAAATTTGCCTAGAAGAAATGACTTTATCATGATCTATTAGATATATAAAGAATATTTTTCAAACGAAGACCTACGTGGTGCATTGACGGTTCAAGCATTGCGTAAATCAAAAGATAAATAAACTAAAACAACTAAATTAAGGGTTTTTCTTCTTCATTGATAAATAAAACGTAGAGATAGAGTACATATGAGCGAATCAGACGGCTCCTCAAGCTTCATCATCATCTTCTCGTAGATCACGGCTCGGGAACTTTCTTCCGAACATTGCTGGTTGAACGTCGGCGGGGAGCCTATGAGCGATTTCGAGCTGTGACAGGAATGACTTCTTGCTATGACCTCTTCCCAAAGTTGGTGATGCTTCCCTTGGGAAAATATTTAGAGGATGCTCGCTGGACCCCCTGCTACAAGAAATCCTTCCTAGACGATGCTTTAGAGGAACACAAGCGTGTATCGATCCGTCACTTTAGTGTGCAGGATAGATAGAACCTATTAAAATGAGCTAAATTTGTAATGCCCCAGATACGTGAGCCTTGACTGAGATGACAATGGGACTTGGGGGACGTACTTGGAGGCATGGGATCATGACGAAGGCCAATCTAGGCATAACCTTTAACCTTTGTGGGAGTCTTATTGATTCATCACCACAATCCTTTAACCTTTAAAATTCATGGGAGTCTTATTGGTTCATCCCCATGATCCTTAAGAGCATTCTATACTCTTCCTTTAAACTTTCACAAGGGTGGGGGGAGTGTCACTAGTGAAGTACCTCTTCAAATTTTCACCCTAATATTTTTAGTGGCGAAATACCTATTAAAATATTGATCTTTAGAGATCCGTCAAACTTCAATAATAAACCATAAATGTAAAGCCTCAAACTAAAATAATAAGAACTCATAAACATATACTTGAAATCATAATTCAAATAAAGCACATATCATAAAACACTTCACGCAAAACAAAATACTTAAAACACATAAGGCGAATAATTTACCCCTTTAAACAACTCACCTCTCAAATGTCGGTACTTTATTTCCTTTGACGTGAGGTTTCTTAATCAGATTGCTTCTTTAATCCTATAAACTGAAAATATTTGCCCTTGGTTGGGATTCCTCAAACTTGGCCCCTTTAACGTACTAGGAAATTTCTCTCCTTGATTACTTAGTCCCAAAACTCTTTAGAAAGCCCTTACTCTCATTCAAATAATATCCTCAAAACTGGTTTTTCCCCCAACATTTCAATAGGGATGGCAAAAATATCCATAACCATGGATATCCGCTCGAATCCGACCTAGTTGGGTAGGGCAAAACTCAAACCCGAAGAACTTTTTTGGGTACGACGTACGTGTAAAACCAAAACTCGAATATTGCGGATAATGGGTGGGCATGGTTTTCTCACTATCCAACCCTAACCCGTCCGATTATATACATTCATATGTACTTTGTCTAAAAATAATCATTATTTTTCTCTAACATATTTTGTATTAAGCATATAAAAATAGCATTTTTCATGAAATTGTGTTGTTTTAGTTAATTTTCTTCATTCTAGTGAATTATTGACTTATTTTTCCTCTTAAGTAATGTGAGAATACGTGTGAATGTTTACAAATTTGTTGAAGTTATAAAGAGAAATTATTACCCATGGATAACTGTGGATACCCGAAACCCAAACGAGTATGGTTTTGATTTTCATCCCATTTCTTATGTGGGTATGGGTATGGGTAAAATTCGAACTACTTTGGGTAGGGTAACGAATATGCATGATCCACCCCCGACCCGACCCATTTTCATCCCTACATTTCAAAGGATCTCTTTAAAGATCCTTTTTAAGTAGAGATTAAGGGCCTTTTTAGAGGAGATAGGTTATACCCCTGCATCGTGAAGCTAGCTGAAGTGACATTGGGATAGTGGATCCATTATCCATGCAGGAGGGGGATTGGTTGCATGACCATTGAGCCAATCCCCGTATTAGCGATATCCTCACCTCGATTACTATGGATTGTTCTTCTATACTTTTGGATGTTTATCTCCAGCGGTTTGGGTGAGGGAGGCCCCCCAAGTACCTCTTCTCTCCTATCGTCCTCTTATTCATTAATCTCAAACTGTCCACTTGGTAAGTAATAGGTCGACTAGATAACAATCTAGTGCAAGTAGTCTAGGATACCGTGACTAGTGGAATACCACCAAGTCACCTTACTACATCCGCAGATTTGTTATACTTGGCATTGTTAGGATATAAGTGATTGCGCATCATACAAATTTTAAAGATCTTCTCATCAAATTTTTGGCTTCATTGCCGGGGAACCATTGATAACTAGTTGAAAGATTTTGGTTAATAATTTAGTCTTACTTTCTTGCTTATAATAGTAGTAGTATATCGTACTAGTATGATATATTAGTATTCTTTGTTTTGTTTTCTTTCTTTGCTTTTTTTTTCTCTCCCACCTTTGCCCTTGAAGGTGTTTTGTTTTTGTTTGTGGAATTTGAAACATGGATCCCATACATAATTAGTCTACATAAATATATACTTTTGGGTCATTGGGGATATTAATTATTTATTGTTTAGGAAATCATTGTTAAGCAGTTAATTTAGGATTCGTTTACCTTGTTTGAGAGGGAAAGCATTTATGGGATTAGTCCCATAAATATGTACTTTTGCTTTACGTTTTAATAAGTCGAAAAAGAATAAACCCGTATTTTAGGTAATCTTAGGAGGAGTAAATTAATTTTCGACACTTGAATCAATCACGCGTCAATTGGTATCAGAGATTGGTTTCGACAGATCCGGGGATGATGGGTCCAAAGAAGAACATGGTGTCAACGACATCCCACGAGTTCACCGTCAAGGAAGAATTAGGGCAACAACTTTGAGAGATATTTTTATGGGTTTGAAGTGAGTTGGCAAGACCTTGGGCAAGTGTGTAAGGGGAGACACGAGCACCAGCTGATTTTATAGACTAGCAACTTCAAGCAGCGAATGAAGGCCTAAGTCAACTCCGAGTCTACATCCAAACCCTCAAATGAGGTCAAGACGATCTCCAAGACAGCCTCAAATGCGGCCTGGAATGGGTGATCGAGATCATGAGAGCAGGGCGAGAGAAGCTCGAAGCCACGATTTAGCAAAATTGGCATGATGGAAAGAGAGATCTAAAGACAGTGATGTGATGGATGGAGGGTCTCATCCCGAGAAACCTCAAATGAGGCGATGCAAAAAAAGGGAGAGAGAAGGACGGTCAATTTGATTTCAACCGACGAGAAGCTCAAATCACCAGCCATTGAGGAATAGGGAAATTGAAATGGGGAAGGTAGTAGAGCGGGAGTCCAATTATCGCCACCACCATTACCATATGTCGATTCCATGCCGAGAAAGGGGTGCTAAGTCGATGGGGAGGAGCAGTGCAGATGAGATCGGCCCATTCTGGAAATCGGCAACAGTGGGGAGGTCTGGCGTTAGAAGATTACAGGAGAAGGGTTTCAAGCATCAAGCGGACGCGAGACAGGCTGGGATCAATAGATCGGGTTGACGGTCTGCCTGGGCTAGGTCTAGGCATGAATGGCAGAACATGAAAGGGGTGAAGGGCGGCAGTCAAGGTGGTCAGGCTAACATCTATGGTGTACAACTAGTAGGCTCGGGCACGATGTAGTAGGGTCGAAAGTGCCATGGAGGTGTTATGACACTCAATTTATAGTATTTGTCACTCCCATATGTGATACATTTTCCTTTTATATCAATGCAACTTTAGTGGTTTTGACTATAGTGCATTGTGGTTTGACTATAATTCATATGGAATTTATAACTATTTGAATAATGAGCTTATGATAGACCTTGAGTGTGTTTCTTTACTATTTTATGCCTTTATGGTATTGCATTGTGCTTTTGAAATATATAAACCACTCAAGACGATTATGGATCACTAAGGGACCTAATGGATCAAAAAGAGGACGAGAATACAAGCTCGTGGACTCAAACTGAGATGGATTTGGATATCAGATGCTCACTTTATGGTAAAAATAAGCAGATCTCGTTGTGCAGCAAGCCCAACTTTGACCAAGGTCCAACCGGAGGTATACAAGTTAAGACTCTTCCAAAATTGGAGAAGGAGTTACTAGGATCACAAGGAATCCATTGCAAGAAGAAAATAAGGGCGACCCTACATCACTACCGACCGGTGCTTGTCTTAAACCCTCAAGAAAATTTCCCAAAGAAGCTACTTCTTCCCCAATTTGAATGAATTCAAGTTCAAGACAAATAAGGAAGATTTGGCCGAATTTATGTAATGATTATTGATGCATATGCCTTTAGATGCTTTATTGTATGCGTGATGCTTTAATCATCTCTTGTGTATGATCATCGATGCTTTATTTGATACGATATTTTAATCATACTATGCGTGTGAGTCTATGATGAATACTACTATAATCATTGTTTATACTACTATTATGGAAAACAAGGAAACTAATCTCGTGTAGTAGGCATCTTCTTCGGGCATGCACGGGTAGAGAGTGGTCATAGAGGAAGCGATAGGGCATAATAGCGGATGATACATAGAAGCATTTTATAGAAGAGATTGTATTCATGACCATCTAGAAAACACCGCCTAAACATTACTTTACTTGCTTGTATTACTTTGTTTCTTTCTTTCTTGCATTAGTCGAGTAGATTTCGAGTACATTAGGTTAGGTTTGAGTATTTTATATCAAAAGATATTCTCAAGGTCTATAAAGGAAGTTCCAATGAAGTGCGTAAAGGTTTTGAAGAGATCAAGGAGAAAGAAGGGCTTATGGTGCATAAGGATTTTGTGGACCATGAAGAGAAGGAAGATCAACTCAAAGCCAACACTTATAACGATGAAGAAGATGGAGAGAACATAAAAAATGAAGAGGAAAATCAACATGAGGACAATAGAGAAGAAGATGAGTTTAAAACTCAACCTCTGGAAGAAGAAGAAGAAGAAGAAGGAAAGTTATCCCCTCAAAAAGATGCAATGGACGTAGAAAGCTACTCACAACTCGACGAAAGCATCTTACAAGCCATGTAGACCATGATCGAGCATCTTCAATCCATCCAAGAAGAAGAGATTGATCAATCTATCAAAGAGCCTCAATAAGAAGATCATATGGAGACCAAAAAAATTGATGATGAAGATTATGATCTTACAACTTCCGAGGAAGGATATGACGAGATATAGCCCCTAGGAGTATCAGTGGAGGAAGAAGGATGCTCTATTGAAGAACTTACACGAATCCAAACTTTCTTGGATTCGTGGGAAGATGTCGAAGTTTTTTCACCACTTGAAGGCTTTGAACACTTCCTCACCTTCTTCAATCTGAATCCAATAGTACTCCAACTACCAAGGAATCCACCATTCGAAACATCTAGGAGGAAGAGTTTGAGTACGATGACCCTCTTACACCTCTTATTCAAAGTTCAACAAAACCCTTGGAACTAAGCATTGAAAAAGAGATTGTAGAGGAGAATTCAAACAAGGATGATCAACCTCAAATGAAAAATAAAGGATACGAGCCACTATAGGAGCAAGCATCTCAACCTGTCCAACCAAATGAGGAGCTTCAAGAGGAGCCACCTATCTTAAATGTTGATGACCAAACCAACATGAAATCCAACCTAAAAGGAGAGCAAGATGCCCCCAACATCCAAGATATTGTGGTAGAGTTCATCAAAGAAGATAAATCATCTAGAGAAATGGAGGAAACTTCTAACACCCTACCCTATACGTTTTGCCTAATCATATTGTTCATACAATTGCAGCGGAATTAATCTCGGGTGTTACATTAATTATCAAAATTTATCCAAATAAAATTTCGACATGAATTACTCGCGTAATGGGCTAACAGTTATTGTAACTAAAACCTGCAAAATAATTTATCTGAATCCATGCATTCAATGACAAACATATATACTTACAACCATATACATGGACTTTCATAGCCATAGTCACAGTTTCATACTATACAACTGCATACCATACTGATACAAGCCATAATCGTCATAACTTACACAACCACATAAATATACACATATCATTTACTTTCCACACCTGTGGATATCTCACACTACATCAGAAGCTAGTATGCACATGAAAAATGTTCTAAAAACATTTTTACAAAAAGGTGTGGATCACTGGCCAAAATCCCGAGTAGTAGTCCAAGCACAAAATGGTTGAAGACCATACCTCATCTTGCCTTCAACTCTTGCTCACCTCCCACCTATACACCTATCTACTGCTGCTGATGATGATCTGCTTACACATGGCATAAGCAGAGAAAAAGGATAAAAGAGGGTCAGCTCATAGCTGGGTGAGATAATCATAGCATCGTGAGTTCATAACATAGCATACCACTACCATACATCTAGCAAACAAGCCAAAGCACTAGGATCAGATCTCAGCCCTCCGACATCCCAATTGGCAAAAGACTCAACCACCTTGACTTATGCATATGCATCTTATCATGTTTTACTTATAGGCGCCTGGCTACTCCCATGCTAATAACTCTCCCGGGAAACATACCCCACATCCCGTCGGATGTAGTCTACATACCCCAACATCCCGTCGGATGTGGTCATACATACCCCACACCACTATGGGTGTAGTCATACCCCGACACCACTCTGGGTGTGGTCATATCTCATAAGAAATCTTCAGTCACCACCACATGAGAGGTGTGACTATCATACTTATCATAATAGAGTAATAGCATAGGGAGCCCTAATTACTATGTAGTTGACCGTGAGACCACAACAGTCATATTTGGTATCCTTATACATGATTCATATATCATCTTGCTTAATCATAATTCATTACTTGCACATGTACTTGACCTGGCCATAATTGGCTCAACATAGGTAAATCAGGAGTCGTATAATTGCACTTCCTCGGGATAAACCCTCGTGCAAGTCATCCTCCTTAAACATCATAATATCACCAGGGAATATATATTTTCCCACTTGTGCATCCAAATACAACAATCATGAAAAGTCATACCTAATCACCTTCTCGAACCATCGTAAAGCATATTAACAGTCCAGCCCACAATTTGCAACATATACACAATCATCAGCATAAACAAGGTTCATATCGATTAGGGCAAGTCAATAATATCATACAACAATCCAGGGTTCAACATATAGCACAAAAGTTCATACACCCCTAATCATGCCATTCTAGTTCACCTAGATCAATTCTAAGCATCAATATAATTATCGTGATACGAAAAACCCGGGATGCCGTGCTAATCCCTCACCAGTTCTAGTCATTCAAACACCGATTTTAGCTTCCCGTACTAAAACGTCAATTTCAGGAACAAACCCCGAATTAAAATCCGACACCGTCCTAATATGCCCTGCAGTATCCCCGTCAATATTAGTTCTAGGCTCCGGGTCAAATTCTTGATAAAAACACATCAAACCCTGGCCGGAGCTAAATTTAGCGGTTTGGACCCCGGCCTAAATAATAGCCGAAATTCAGGGATTAGAACTAGATGATTGATTACCTCGCTGCAGGAAGCTCGTATATGAAATTTGGGCTCAATCCGGCTTCCGGATACTCCGAAACCCTAATTTTGCTTATCGGGAATTCAAGAAATTCCTGAACCAAAAACTCATTGTAAAGCTCTAAATCGATAAATCACGATGTATAGATGAATTAGACATTACTTACGGGATTTTTGGATCACTAATGCTCAAAAATTGAGCTCTGAGCTTTTACTTCGACCTTCTGTGCGCGTCTCTGTTTCTCTCTGTTCCTCCGCGTGTTTGAGAAAGGGAAATGGGAAGATGAGAATGAAATTGTGACCGATGCAATTTGTGGACATATATATATAATTGTAAAGCGGTTTCACTTACCGTCCTTTTATTTACACTTTCCCTTTTTCATTTAATAATTATATATAATATATATATATAATTAATACGTATACTTATCCGATCGATCGATAATCCGATTTTCGCCGAAATACTGTTAAAACGCTCGATATTAAATCGCGAACTTTCTAGCGATCGGAATATGGGTTTTCCAGAACGAGATGTTACAATTCTCCCCTCCTTAAAAGATTTCATCTCCGAAATCTATCCTTGAGTCGTACTCTAACTCCTCTTACTTACCCTTAACATGGTCTATCATACATAAAGTCATTACCTAACTCTTAGGTTAGGCAATTCATAACCTAGAAAGTAACACATAACACCTCAAGTTCCCTTGTTTAGGTTTCAAAAACCTATACTAGGCTATCACAACAAAAGCACATCAACAAGTTCAAAACATAACTTACTAAGCAAGATTGTTAACCTGTAAAGTAGGTTGCTACTAACTCAGGGTACTTCTCCCGCATACTTGCTTCAGTTTCCCATGTAGCACTCTCACTATCTTGATTTCTCCACACCACTTTCAACATTGGAATTTCTTTCCTGCGAAGAGTCTTAATCTGAAAATCAACAATCTCAAATGGAACCTCCTCAAAAGTTAAATCTGGACCCAACTCGATCTCTTCTGGTTGTATAACATGGGAAGGATCCACTTTGTACCTCTTCAGCATACTAACATGAAATACATTGTGGATTTGAGATAGCTCTGGAGGCAATGCTAGTTTATATGCCACTGGTCCAATCTTCCCTGTGATTTCATATGGTCCAATATATCGAGGTGCAAGCTTTCCTTTCTTACCAAATCTCATCACCCCTTTCCATGGTGACACTTTGAGAAATACTTTCTCACCCACCTCGAAATTAACTTCACGCCTACTCGTGTCCACATGAACTTTCTGTCGATCTTGAGCCACCCTCAAACGCTCCCTGATTTCCTTGACCTTATCAACTGTGATCTGAACTATCTCTGGCCCTGAGATTTGCCTTGCTCCTTCTACATCCCAACATAATGGTGTTCTACATTTCCTCCCATAAAGTGCTTCATATGGTGGAACACCCAAGCTACTATGGTACTGGTTGTTGTAAGCAAACTCAATTAAGGGCAAATGGTCAATCCATGATTCCTCCCATTGCATTACACATGATCGAAGTAACTCCTCTAAGGTAAGGATGGTTCGTTCACTCTGGCCATTTGTTTGAGGATGATAAGCTGAAGTAAAATGCAGTTTAGTTCCCAAGGCATCATGTAAACTTTTCCAAAACCGAGATGTGAAGCTCGGGTCTCGATCAGAGACAATAGAAATTGGCACACCATGCAATCTGACGATCTCCTTAATATATAGTTGAGACAAAGTCTCCAGTGATGGTTTCCATCTAATGGGTAAAAAGTGAGCCGATTTGGTTAGTCGGTCCACAATAACCCATATCGCATCTTTCCCCCTTGATGATGGAAGACCATATACAAAATCCATTGTGATTCTTTCCCACTTCCATTCTGGAATTGGAAGTGGTTGCAGTTTTCCTACAGGAGCTTGATGTTCTGCCTTAACTTTCTGACATACTAGACATGTGAAAACATGTTCAGCCGCTTCCTTTTTCATCCCACGCCACCAAAAATATGGTTTGATCGTGTGATACATTTTAGTAGCTCCTGGGTGCATAGCATAAGCAGAAGAATGAGCTTCATCTAGGATCTCTTTCCTCAAGTTATCAACATTAGGAACACATGCTCTTCCATTCATCTTCAACATGCCATCTATTATTTCAAATGGGCTTTCTTTTCCTTCCTCAATGTCTTGAATGATTTTTGCCAACTCTGAGTCCTCCTTCTGCTTCTCACAAATTTTGTCGTGCAACAAAGGTCGTATGTTCAACCGAGCTAGTAACCCTGTTACACCATCCACTTCCAAATCCACATTCATTGGCCTCAAATCAACCAGATTCGTTATATTCTTCTTGCCTTTTCTGCTTAGAGCATCAGCAACTACATTAGCTTTACCTGGATGGTAATCAATGGTACAATCATAATCTTTCAACAACTCTATCCATCTCCTCTGGCGACTATTTAAATCCTTCTGATCCATAATATACTTCAAGCTTTTGTGATCAGTTAGGATTTTAAAAGTCTCACCATACAAATAATGTCGCCAAATCTTGAGAGCAAATACCACCGCTGCCAACTCCAAATCATGAGTGGGATAATTTACTTCATGAGGACGCAATTGCCTAGAGGCATATGCGATAACTCTTCCATCTTGCATTAACACACAACCCAGTCCTTGATATGAGGCATCACTATACACCACAAACTCTCCATGGTTTGAAGGTAAAGCCAGTACTGGTGCTGTGGTCAATTTCTTCTTCAGTTCATCATAACTCTTTTGACATGATTCATCCCAAACATACTTGGTATTCTTCCTCAACAATTTAGTCAATGGTGCGGCAATTTTAGAAAATCCTTCTACGAACCGCCGATAGTAACCCGCCATGCCAAGAAAACTTCTCAACTCAGACACATCTTTTGGTGGAGCCCAACTCACCACTGCTTCCACCTTTTTCGGATCCACCTCGACACCTCTTCCAGAAATTACATGTCCCAAAAATATTACCTCCTTCAACCAAAACTCACATTTTGAGAATTTTGCATATAATTGTTTCTCCCTTAGAATTTGCAACACAATTCTAAGGTGAGTTTTGTGCTCCTCCTCGCTTTTAGAATAGATGAGAATATCATCTATGAACAAAATCACAAACTTATCAAGATATGCATGGAAACCTCTGTTCATAAGAGCCATAAATACCGCTGGTGCATTAGTGAGTCCAAAAGGCATTACCAGGAACTCATAATGCCCATATCTTGTTCTAAAAGCTGTCTTTGAGGTTGCTCCATCTGCCACTTTCAATTGATGGTATCCAGACCTCAAATCAATCTTAGAAAAGACTGATGCACCCTGCAATAATGGTATCCAGACCTCAATGGGTAGTCATCCCACCTACCACAAGGAAGCTCTATGCATAGAAGAACCAAGCTTTGAAGTGGATGGACTCCTTCAAGATCCCCCTATATCACCTTCTCAAGGATTTACAAAAACCTTGGAAAACAAGAATCTTGAGGAAGTAAGGGTAGAGTATGGAGAGTTCACCATTCACACGGGCACTCTTGGTGAAAAAATGGAGGATGATATTCCTAAAGTTAAAAACCACGAAGAAAATGTCAAAATCTCAATGGAGATGCATTAAGGAGTCAAGCCAGATTTCAATAGACCGTAGTGTCATATCTAACCCAAAGAGGGAAGTACATGAGTCCATCCTTGTATCATTACCTCTACCAGATGCCTAAAATTCAAGATCAATATGTGTTGTAAAAGGTGCAAGTTGGTGACTAAGGTGGATATTGCTTCATGATCCATTATCAAGACAAAAGGAGAAGAAGGATGGTATACATTTGGAGCCTACATTCAAAATGATTGACTTCAAGAAAGCCTTGAGTTGGGACCTTGAAGAATGTAGAAAACTTCCTAGCTCAAAGGAATAAAAGAAAGAGCGCTTCATGTGAGGCAACCCATGTCTGGCATCCAACTTAACAATGTAAAATAAAAGTGCTACTAGGGAGACAACTCGGATTTTCTTTCATCTCATTGTTTTATTTCAATTTTCATGTTGAGGGGGAGAAGCACTTGCTTTAGCTCTGTTTTGTTGCTTTGATGTTTTTCTTTTGTTTTTTGAAATTCATCGGAAAATAAAGGGAGAAATGGAGTAAGGAGATCCAAACTGACGAATCCCTCAAGAACAAAGAGAACACACTCATAAATGGGGAAGGAAATGGAGCGGCGCCCTTGCCCGCCGGTGACCCGCCGCTAGGAAATGGAGCGAAATGGACAAACAGGCAGAGATCACACCCAAGGTGCTATTATCACGGTCATCCGATCGTGAAGATGTACAACTTCCAGGAGACTTTGCACACCTTGCGGGCAAGTCAGTTGTCATGATCGCCAGACCGTGATAATTTCCCGCCGACCGTGAAGTCTATTAATGAAACGACATGTCTTGGGCCGAGATCAGTGGCAGGCTTCCAACATCACGGATGTGATAATCGACTGAAAAAGTGCCCGACTGGAGTATATAAGAGGAGAATGCTAAAACCTAGGGAGAGAGTTCTAGAGTGAGATTTGGTTCTTCTTCAGTTAGAGAGAGAGAAAGTCACAAACCAAAGGAGAAAGAAGATGGTTTTGACCTACCCAAGGCTTGAAGAGTGAAGATTTCTTTTCCACGGTGGCAATCCAAGCACTTAGAAGGGAAGAGAAGCATCTTACCATGGTTGTTTCCTCCATCTTTGTTGTATTCCTCTTCTTAGTCATAAAGTAGTTCCCCAATTCACTTGGGTATTGTGAACTCTATTATAGGATGTGTGAGATGGTAGGAATTGAACTCTATGTGTGATGGGTTTGTGTTTGATATAATGTTTGAGGTATTTTTTATGATTCTTGAGTGTTGTTCTTCATATCTCAAAGTTAGGTCAAATTGACATAGGTGGTGGAAATCCTCCTTTGGGCCATAAGAAGCTAGATTTCTAGCCAATTGGGTAACCCCATCTAGGGCAATTAAGGGCTGGCCTCAAACATCATATTAGTGCCATGAATTTATCGTGATTGGTTACTTTTCTCCATTTCAGATTAGCTTCTAGGGAGTGGTCTTGGCAATCCTTAGTCGATTAGTCAAGAGAGCTAGCTTCCTAGCTTATTGTGACAATCCTCGATTATTCGGCTAAGAGAGTGGGATTTCCCTACTAATTGCATCCTTCTCACAGTATATGATCACACCTTTCCACACTAGAGTTAATTCGGTTGACCTTGACATGAGACTAGGGGGAGCAATACCTGGGTGAAGTTTTCTCACATCGAATTCATCACAATTTCATTTCTTTGATTGTTTTCAACAGTAGTTCTTTAGCTTTAACTCCAAACTGTTGGCTAGATAACAGATTAAAAGATTGAAGTAGGGGTATATGGACCGCCTCGGGTTAAGAATTAAACACTTTCCCTATTCTACAGCCGGTTGTTGGTTATACTTGGTCATCGATTGGGAATAGTGTACTTAGTAGCAAGTCAACGATCATTGATGCCTATGCCTTTAGATGCTTTATTGTATTCGCGATGCTTTAATCATGTCTTGTGTAGGATCATTGATGTTTTATTTCATATGACGTTTTAATCATTCTATGCGTGTGAGTCTATGATGAATGCTACCATCATTTTTTACTAACACAGGGCGGCACCGCTATGGTATGAAAGAAGAAGGCTTTGCCGCTAGACATACACCAAGAGAGGGAAGGGGAATATTGACTGTTGATGATTCTTCTTCTTCTTGTCATTGTTTATGGTACTTATATGGAAAACAAGGAAACTAATCTCGTGTAGCATGCATCTTCATAGGCGCGTATAAGATGATTAGCTACCTTCTATGGACAACTAAGGGTGATGTTTGATTCTTAGATCATCGATGCTATAGACTATGGTTATGGTTGGAAAAAGCCCACAATTAATAATATGCTATCCTCACTTCTTTTTTCTTCATTGATTAGGTGATGGTATGAAGTGAAAGCATGCATTATCTAGTCAAACCTCTATCACAAGAGGCGCATGTATGGACAGAGAGTGGGGAAGGGATAGGGCATTATATAGATGATGCATAGAAGCATCTTATAGAGGAGATTGTATGCATGAACATCTAGAAAACACTACCTAAATATTACTTTACTTGCATTTCTTTGTTTCTTTCGTGCATTAGTAGAGTAGATTTCGAGTAGTGTGCACCTCAACCCACTTCCTTTACCCCACTTCATCTACTTTCTTGCATTGTTCGAGTACATTAGTTTAGGTTTGAGTAGTTGCTATCAAAAGTAGAGGTGGCAAATTGGTTTCTGGTTAGCAGTTAACCGGTCGGTTATGACCGAACCGACCGGTTTTTGGCTAACCGAAAAACCGCCCCCATCTTGGCACGGTCGTCGTCGGAGGAAAGGGGAAGGGGGTCGGTTACACGGTTAACCGCGTAACCCACCCCTTTCCATTTCCTCCGAAACGACGACGCACCCCCTTCCCCTTTCCTCCGAAAACGACCCCAAATCCTAAAAACGACCAAATCCCAACCTAACCCTAACCTTCTGCCCCATCTATCCCTCTCGTCTCCCCCAGCCGTCACCTGCAGCCAGCTCCCAGCAACCACCAGCCCTCCCCGACGCCGCCTTCCTCCCTCCATCGGTCGCGAGCCAGCCGACAACAGCGACAGGGAGCGGTGGCGGCGGCAGATCCAGAATCAGATGGGAGAAGAAGAGGAATCGACGGCGAAGCCCCCAGCCAACCACCACCCCTCCCCGACGTCCAATCTCCCCTCCCCGACGACCCCGCCTTCCTCCCTCCGTCGGCCGCGAGCCAGCCCTCTTCCCCCGCCGACGGTAGGTCTCCCATCTCCGAGACCCCTCCTCCACCTTCTCCCTGCCCCGCTGGCGCCTTGTCAATCTCCCCCGGCGACCCCTGCAGATATGTTCATCCATGGAGAAAGAAGGTGAGAAGAAGAAGTGGTTTGGTGGGTGTGAAATGGTGGAGGAAGGAAGGAGAGAGGAGGAGATAAGGATTGAGATGAGTGGTGGAGAATTTTAGTTTTTTTAATTAACTTTTAGTTTTTTTTGGAGAAAAGGTAGGTTTTTTGGTTGGCCGGCTAACCGAGCCTAAAACCGAAACCGATTGGTCGGTTGGCCGGCTAACCATGACTTCTCTCATGGTCGGTGGTCGGCAACTATAGGGGGTGGCTCGGTTTAACCGATAACCGAGTTTTCGGTTTTCTGTTAAACCGAAACCGACCGACTGCCACCCCTAATCAAAAGACCCTGTGGAATATGAACCTGGGACCTCCTAGGATATTTATCACTCGATACTACATCAAAGTGGCCCAAGCACGTCGGAGTAAATGATACGACGTTTGGATCTCCTGGACTGGGAGTTTCCGGTGCCAATGGGTCGGCAACCTACCTCAGTGTAGGTGGAAGTGAACTGGGAGCCCAGAACCAGACAAATGATAGGCCGGGGTGAACTGGCCCTAGTGAGGAGTCAGCTACAACTCTCTTTCATGGCCGACCAGCAATGCGGGAATTCCCCATATTCACTTGATAAGAAGAACAATAAGGATGGATGTCCCAAGTAGAAAAATATTTTAAGTATCAAGGCATTACAAAAGAATAGACAGTGACCCTGGCATCGTACCATATGGATGGGAACGCCAATCAATGGGTCATGTGGTTAGAAGAGGAATTCGACAACATGGGATGGTCATAACATGAGAGGATTTTTTGGTGGAGTTTGGAAGCGGAATGGATTTTCGGACAAAGTGTCGGGCATTGAGGCTTTGGCCAAGATACGGAAACATGATCAGTAGAGGATTACCTGCAAGCCTTTGAGAAGTTATTGAAACGTTGTCGCGAGTGGATTAAGGAGGCAGTTATAGGGTCGTACATGGAAGGTTTAAAACTGAAAATTTTGGGCTATCGCATTTGGACCACGAAATACGCAGGGGGGGGGGGGAGACAACAAGGGGAATGATGGTGATGACATCGGAAGCAGACCCAACTCCCCCACCACTGCCACGGCCGACACCACCACTGTAGGGACAAGGACCCCCATCGAAAAAAGCCTCGAGGCGACGACAAAACATGCTTTGCTACAACTGTGACGAGTGTTTCACCTATGGACATCGTTGTGCCAATAACTATGTGTTCGACATGATTGTAGACTTCGAGGGAGAGGATGCAAGAGGAGATGAGGAAGAAGAGCAACCTCAGGACGAGGTTATTTAAGGGAGAAGGATTGATGCAATCATACATCCGACATTAGCGCAATGATTTCCATTATTATTATTATTATTATTATTATTATTATTATGTTTATTTGATATATTCTTTTGGGTTATTTGAGGTATTAATTATTTCTTGTTTATGAGTTAGTTTTGGATTAGTTTATAGTGTTTGAGAGTGAAAGAGTTTATGAGATTAGTCCTATAAATATGTATTTTTGCTCTACATTTTAATCGATAAAAAAGAATAGAACAGTATTTCTGTTTATCTTAGGAATAGGAGTCAAGTAATTTTCAACATGTGAATCAATCAGGCGTACCGGCTTAATACTATTTTAGAAATTTACATGGTCTAAGATCATAACTTTTATCTATTTATGAATCAAACTCGTTATACACTATTGCATGTTTGAAAGTTAATGGCTGGAACATCAACTAAAAAGACTTTATCCCTCCCCTCCTTCCCGACTTACCATGGTTTTAGACCCCTCAACTTTTTTTATGTTTAGCATCCACTCTGTCCCTCCCAGTCCCACTCTCTATTAAATGGCCAACACCTACCCTTTGGCCTAATGGAGGGTCGATCGATAATAGAGGTCTTCTCTTCAGTTCCCACGCCTACCTCTCCGACGTGGCCTACAAGCTTCCATCCCAACAACCGGGACTTGTCCTTTTGCCGACGACGACGGATACCTTTTGGCCATGCTCACCAAAGCACTCTCCTCCACGTCTTGCCCTGCCCTGCACATTATGACCTGGCGCTGTCTCATCCGCCGCGAATCAGCTGGTTTCTTCTTCTCCTCCTTGGCCGATGTTTCTTGCTGATCAAGGTACCTACTGCTCCTGCTGGGCTCTGCCATGTGACTGCCGAGTTGCCTGGAAATGCTCTGGATTTCATGGGAATCAAGAAGAGAGTAATGGCCGGTTCGGATTGCTGGAGACGACGACAATGACGAAGCTTGTTCATTTTTAGTTTCTGTTACTGGGGTGTTGGCCGCCACCATAGCTTCCACCCTGTATCTGGATGGCATGTCTGCTGCTGCAGGTTTGGGTTTGGCCGCAAAGTCGAATTCGGCCACTGCCTGCTTGCCTTGTGACGAGCCTGAACCATGTTGATACCAAGCCCATGCAGCGGCCTTCACCAACGCCAAGTTTTCGTCGTCCCCGTTCTTCTTCGGACCTGCGCGCTTCCTTCTCTCCACTAAACCTCGGAATAAGGATGGCATGGCGGAGCGAAGTAGATGGTGTTGATTGGTAATTTGCAATTAAAAAATATAATAATAAATAAATAAAAGGTGGAAGGTTCCAAGCTTGGTACAGGAACACTACATAATTCAGCCTACCTAAGTTGACAAACTTCACATGGAGGAGTGCTTTACCAACAGGACATTGATAAGAAAAGCCACCTAATGTATTTATACTAGAGACATGGCATGCTTGGGAGATTCTCAAATATCATCATGTCTCCAATCCCATCTGTGAAAGAAGAAAAAGAAGGCAAGAGTTAATGCATGGGCCAATGGAATTAAATTTGTGTTTCCATCTTCCACAAGTGGCAACGTGGGTGGAGGAAATAGATGGCCATTTGTATTAATTGTAGTATTAGTTTCTCTTTCAATTGCAATTATATATATGTATGAAATGATATGGGATGGGTAGAGAAGAGAGTGTCAGAGAGACATAAAAAAAGAAAGAATGGAGTCTCTGTATCTATGTGAGTTGTAAGAACAAGTGCCAAAAATTAAGGCCTTGTTTGTTTGAGTGTTTATTAAATTGAGTGATTAAACACCATTGTTTCCTTTGTGTTGATCCTAATTTCTACCACAATTCCGCTAATCCCCAACAAATTTGGTATCAGAGCTTAATACCCTTCTATCCTCTCAAAAATCCCCAAATTTCTAGCCTACCCAATCCTCTAAAAAATCCATGGCAACAACTTCCTCAAACACCATGTTTGCTACCTCTTCTAATCAAATTCCCATTTTCGATGGAGAATTGTACGAGTACTGGAGTGCCCAAATGGAGCCAATTTTCATCTCTCAAGATCTGTGGGATATAGTCCAAGATGGCTATGAAAGTCCGCAGGAAGATGATGAAGACTCGAAGAAACGATCAGGCAAGCAGACAAAGGAGTACAAGGAGAATGCCAAGCAAAATGCCAGCGCCTTGAGAATCATTCAGCAAGCAGTGAGCAAATCAATTTACCCCAGAATCTATGGCATCAAAAAGGCCAAAGAAGCTTGGGATGTCTTGCGTGAACAATTTCAAGGTTCTGAAAAGGCAATCTCTATCAGGCGCCAAAGTTTATGGCGACAGTTCGACAACTTGATGATGAAGGAAACCGACACCATCAAAGACTTCCATTCGCGTGTGGCAGAGACAGTCAACCAAATCAAAGCCACCGGTGATGTCATGGAAGAAAGAAAAATTGTGGAGAGAATTCTCCGCAGTTTATCATCAAAGTTCGAGCATATTGTTGCTGTCATTGAAGAAACCAAAGATCTGGCAAATCTACCAATGAGCGAGTTGATGGGCTCACTTGTAGCACACGAGCAAAGAATGAGCCGCTTCACCAAACCGCCATTGGAGCAAGCTTTCTCGTCAAAAGTCAACATGGCGGAAAGTAAATATGCCAAATCGGAGCAAGGCCAGAGAGGGGGAAACTCACAAGGGAGAGGAAGAGGAAGATCCAATTACAGAGGAAACAACAGACAAAATTATCAACAACAAAGATCGGGCTACACCGGCTCGAGTTGCATAATTTGCAAAAAGGCGGGTCATGCAACAAAAGACTGCAGATTCAAGTGCACCAAGTGCAAAATTCAAAACCACTCCCAGAGAGATTGCTGGTTCCAGAACAAGCAAGAAGATGGCGAGTCAAGCGGCACCAAAAATGAAGAAAGCAATATGGTGGCCTTGTCATGCTTGTATGGTGAGCAAAAATCACAGCTTCCCTGGATGGTGGATAGTGGTTGCAGTAACCACATGACTGGAGATCTGGAGTCCTTCACCGACATCGATGACAAATACCGCTCTCAAGTCAAATTGGGAGACGGGAAGAAGCTAAAAGTGGAAGGAAAAGGCACAGTTATTGTATGCACAGAAGAAGGCAACAAAACTCTCATTCGAGATGTTTTGTATGTTCCGGAGCTAACTCTCAATCTACTTAGCGTGGGACAACTGATGCAGAAAAATTACAAGCTATTGTTTGATAATGGCGTGTGCGAGATTATCAACAAAGCAGACAATTTTATGGTGGCCAAAGTCCCGATGACTTCCAACAGAATTTTCTCTCTTGCTATGTCACAAAATGGTGAAGTAGCATTCAAGAGTGAAAATCTGGATCAATCCTTCCTATGGCATCTCAGATACGGTCATCTCAACTTCAGAGGCCTCAAATTGCTGAGGCATAAAAATATGGTGGCGGGACTTCCCCAGATCAACAGAGAAGATAAAATATGTGAAGGATGCATATATGGCAAAATGCATCGTTTACCATTTCCAAAGACATCTTGGAGAGCAAAAGCGCCACTGGAGTTGGTACATGCAGACATATGCGGTCCAACCCGAACACAATCACTCAGCGGCAAAAGATACTTTCTACTATTTGTAGATGACTTCACCAGAATGATGTGGGTATTCTTTCTGGAGCAAAAGTCAGAAGCTTTTCCCAAGTTCCTTCAATTCCAAGCAGTAGCTGAGAAGGAAAGCGGCCATCAAATCAAAACTCTCCGTACAGATCGTGGAGGAGAATTTATTTATACTCCGTTCATGGAGTATTGCCGCAACAACGGGATAAAAAGGCAACTGACGGTCCGTTACACACCACAACAAAATGGCGTGGCAGAACGGAAAAATCGCACGATTGTGGAGATGGCGAGAAGTATGCTCACAGCAAAGAAGCTTCCCAACAACTTGTGGGCAGAAGCGGTCAATACAACAATTTACATCCTCAACAGATCACCAACCAAAGCAGTTCGGAACAAGACACCGATACATGCGTGGCACCACAGGAGGCCACAGGTGAATCACCTCAAAGTCTTTGGGTGCGTAGCTTATGCACATATCTCTACCCCAAACCGAGACAAGTTTGACCAGAAGGGTGAGAAGCTAATTTTTACCGGCTACAGTGATGAATCCAAAGGCTATCGTCTTTACAACCCAGTAAAGAACGAGGTGGTGGTTTCCCGAGATGTGATCTTTGATGAGATGGCGGAGTGGAATTGGGAAAATCCAATTTCTCAATCTCCACCAAGTTATGAAATTCTGGAGGACTCAGCAACTCCAGAAGACCCCAGCAACGACCCAGATCCAGTTGCTAGTCCAGAAAGAAATTCTGCACCTAGCCCAGAAGGAGACAACTTCAGAGACGTCGTAACAGACTCGGATTCACCTCCATTGAGAACAAGGTCTTTGCGAGAAATTTATGAAACAAGTCATGTGGCATATTTTTCTTGTGAGCCTCAAGTCTTTGAAGAAGCAACCAAAGATGAAGTTTGGAATGAGGCGATGGATGCAGAAATTTCCATGATCGAGAAAAACAAGACATGGGAGCTTGTTGATCAACCGGAGGACAAGCCGGTTATAGGTCTCAAATGGATCTATAAGATCAAATTCAATGAAGATGGTACTATCCAGAAGTACAAAGCTCGACTGGTGGCAAAGGGCTATTCACAGCAGCCCGGTATTGATTTTCACGAGACATATGCACCAGTAGCAAGGATGGAGACCATCAGAACAGTTCTCGCTCTAGCTGCTCAACTGGAGTTACCAGTATACCAGTTGGATGTCAAATCAGCATTTCTGAATGGAGAACTGGAAGAAGAAGTCTATGTGGAACAACCACGAGGCTATGAGAAGAAAGGAGAAGAAGACAAAGTCTATCGTCTCCGAAAGGCTTTATACGGGCTGAAGCAAGCACCGAGAGCTTGGAATAGCAGAATTGATCGATATTTTCAGCAAAACGGATTTCAAAGAAGTCCGAGTGAAGCATCTCTCTACATCAAAAAGGGAGAAGGAAAAGATTTTCTAATGGTTTGTTTGTATGTTGATGACTTGATTTACACAGGAACAAGTCAGCGGATGATTGAAGAATTCAAAAGTGCCATGATGAAAGAATTCGAGATGACGGACTTGGGACTCATGAAGTATTTCCTTGGGATCCAAGTGAAGCAGTCACCTGGAGAAATATTTATTTCACAGGAGAAGTACACCGAAGATATGCTGAAAAGATTTCACATGGCAACGTGCAAACCAATCTCAACACCGATGACGTTAAACGAGAAATTACAACGCAATGATGGAGCTGAAAACGTCGATGGAAAGCTGTACAGAAGTCTTGTCGGGTCACTCATTTACCTGACACATACCAGGCCGGATATATGTCATTCAGTAAGTCTTATATCAAGATTTATGAATGAACCTAGCAAACTTCATTTTGCAGCAGCCAAAAGAATTTTGCGGTATCTTCAAGGTACTAAAAAATTGGGCCTGACGTACAAGAAAGAAGCAGAAAGCAAGCTGACTGGATATACCGATAGTGACTGGGCAGGATCACTGGATGATCGAAAAAGCACATCGGGGTACATATTCTGTTTGGGTTCAAAACCCATTTCCTGGAGTTCAAAGAAGCAGAAGACTGTGGCATTATCTTCAGCGGAAGCAGAATATATCGCAGCTACTGATGCAGCATGCGAAGCGGTATGGCTAAAAAGATTAATTTCTGATTTGCAGCAAAATGAAAATGGTCCAACCATTATTCATTGTGACAACATGTCAGCCATAGCCATGACAAAGAATCCAGTATTTCACGCAAGATCGAAGCATATCGAGTTGCGTCATCATTTCATCCGAGACCTCGTCAATGAAGGGCTAATCGTGATGGAATTTATCAACACCGATGACCAGCCAGCAGATATCTTGACAAAGGCGGTCACCCGTGAGAAGTTCGAGAAATTCAAGCAGGTACTTCAAATTGCAAATTAAGAGGGGGTGTTGATTGGTAATTTGCAATTAAAAAATATAATAATAAATAAATAAAAGGTGGAAGGTTCCAAGCTTGGTACAGGAACACTACATAATTCAGCCTACCTAAGTTGACAAACTTCACATGGAGGAGTGCTTTACCAACAGGACATTGATAAGAAAAGCCACCTAATGTATTTATACTAGAGACATGGCATGCTTGGGAGATTCTCAAATATCATCATGTCTCCAATCCCATCTGTGAAAGAAGAAAAAGAAGGCAAGAGTTAATGCATGGGCCAATGGAATTAAATTTGTGTTTCCATCTTCCACAAGTGGCAACGTGGGTGGAGGAAATAGATGGCCATTTGTATTAATTGTAGTATTAGTTTCTCTTTCAATTGCAATTATATATATGTATGAAATGATATGGGATGGGTAGAGAAGAGAGTGTCAGAGAGACATAAAAAAAGAAAGAATGGAGTCTCTGTATCTATGTGAGTTGTAAGAACAAGTGCCAAAAATTAAGGCCTTGTTTGTTTGAGTGTTTATTAAATTGAGTGATTAAACACCATTGTTTCCTTTGTGTTGATCCTAATTTCTACCACAATTCCGCTAATCCCCAACAGATGGAACTGGGAACCACTGTAGTGAAAAAACGGTAATCAAAGCTTCAGAGGCGCATACAAAGATTAGATCGAGAACGTTTTCTTGGCTTTTACCCTTCAAAAATGGTAAAGGAACCAGAGTCTCTGATCTAGCTCCAGTACTACGAAAATGGACACTAATTTCGTCCTTCTTCAGTTGCTGTCAAGACAAGAAGAGCTGAATAAACCAGAAACGTGGTACTGTCCCCCACCAAAAGCTTCATTCGGCTTGGAGTTAGGTTTGGTGAGCTGTACTACGTGATAGGGTCTCCCAACGATGAGACCTTTTCAAATGTGAAACAGCTTCTGATGCTGTCTACGTAATGGCGACTACTGGAGCTTTCTTTTTCCGTTTTCCCAGGCTCATGTTTTGCCACCGCAGCTGCCTGCTTGCATTAGAATTCTCCATCTCCTGCTTAAAACACAAGCAAATCTCTTTTTAGAATTCTTTTCCTACTTTTATTCATCGGGTCAAAAACGAGAATTGTAAAACTGTACCATACTAGTAAAACTCATATACCAATTTGGACAGGTTTTTCCGGTAGTTCACCGGAGGTTTACCTGGTAATTTCACAAACATTGGTAAAAAGTAAAAACAATAAGATAGGATAAATGCCACATTTGGTCATTGAGATTACTAAAATCGTGTCATGTTCAGTCATTAGAAAAATTTAATATCAATTTTGGTTACTCGAATTATTGAAACAAGTCACATTTAGTCACTCTCCTGTTAGCCTCCGTCCAACTTCGGTTACTAGAATTACTGAAACATGTCACATTTAGTCACTCGAATTACTAAAATATGACACATTTAGTCACTCTCCCATTAGTTTTACGTTGAACTCCATTAATGGAGTTGGACAGAAACTAATGGTAGAATGACTAAATTTAACTTGTTTCAATAATTCGAGTGACTAAAATTGATATTAATTTTTTTTCGGTGATTGATATTAAAATTTTCTAGTGACTAAACATGACACGATCTAGTAACTTCAGTGACCAAATGTGGCATTTACCCCAATAAATAAGATAGTACATTAAATTAAGTGCATGATGTAGGAGGAAATTTTCTTTTGATAAGGCAACAGACTAAGGCAGTCCCCAAAACAACGAATAAACAGGTTTCTGACTTTCTGTACAGGTCTTTAGTTTGTTTATTTATTTCCTATCCTGGAAGCTTTCCTTCCTTGCTCATATCGTTCACTCATATGGGAAAGTTGGTATTTGTAAAGCAGGCAAAGAATTCTAGACTGTAATGACGGAAAGAAAACCCAAGGGGACGTCAGGGTTTGGAGCTCTTGTAACGAGAAATTTCAGCTTCCACCCGCTTGATTTCATCGTTAAGCTCTTCCACGGCGGCTGATGTTGATATCTTCGCAATTTGGTTGACAGCATTACTACGTACCAGGGACGACAGCTGCTTCAAGCACGACAGGTACTTGGTCTTCACTTCAGGGAAATCAGAAATTAATTTCTCAGCTTCAAACTACAACAACAAGAGGGTGGTGAACTGGAGTCAAATCATCAGTGGATCACAACACTCCCTATTCATATACTGCAATCATTTGCGATTAACAAGAAGAAACAGACCTACAGAGAAATACATCTTAATGTAAGCAGCTCAGGGCAACTGAGCTACTCGCTCCCGTTGCAAATCAACTATAGATTACCCCAACAATTGAGAAACCCCTCCACTAGCAAAGGCATAAGTTTGAGTAAACAATTGCACACCAACTTCCACGAAGTTAGAGACGCTCATTTCCATTTTCCGCTGTCAACACTTGGTTCAGGGGTATAGATATTGCAATATCAGAAGTGATAAGGGAAACAAGTACAGCAAATGGCTGAGGAAATTAATTAAGAACATACATGGTTGATTCACAAGTTGCCATTTCTATTTGTCTTGCAGCTATTTTTACGTTGTTTTTTCCCTTCTTTTGTTTTTGTCTTATCATTATCCTCTTTCTCGGCATGTTCTTCAAACCCTCAATAAAGAAACCTTGTTCGATGATATTACAAATCCCAAATCCATCTATTACTTGCTTATTATCATGTGTAGTATTATCACCCATATGTTTCGCATATACCAGACCCCAGTATCCAGAAAGCCACTCCTAGAAAAAAAAAATATCCGAAAGCCAATCTTCATGAAAAGCACTACTGCCGTTGGCAGCATAAACGTACCTCTTTGTATACAGAAATACATTGAAAAAGTGCATCCTCAGCAGCAGATGAACATTTCTGTTTCATGGCAAAAAATGGCAAAAACACGTGATCAGTGTATCGTGATAAAAAAGAACACATCTTAGTAGGGAAAACTGGATACATGAAGTACTACTATTGCTTCCCAGTACTACCTCTTTCTCCTGCAACTCATGCTTCTTGATCTCCAAAAGACCAAGGGTGTAAAGTGACTGCAGCTGCATGAAGAACATAAGTTTGTCATCCAGTCGGAAACAACAACCTGCCACAGATTCTAGCACACAAATTGCAGGAAAACCCCCATCTTAACTCCCTAAACCATAGCCATCATCTTTTTATTACGATATCATAAGCTATTGAGCAAATCACTACAACAGTTGTGAAACTGCAGAAACATTATCTGTGTTAGATGACTGCATATCTCCTCTTAATGGTCACTCTCCTTCCAATTTGATTTACACAGAAGTTTCACATGTTGTTGGTTTAAGAGTTCAACTAACAAAACAAAATGAGTTCTTTCATTTCAAGGCAAGCAGTATAACCATACATACAGGTGATAAACGTACACATTATCCCATTATGTAAACAGGAACTCATGCGTACTAACACACAGTAAAAAAGAACAGCTAACGATTATGAGAAGGTAAGCAGATAGTCATTAGAAATCTAATGTGCACATGTATAGAGAAAAGTGGGATTTAGTCACTTTGGCATATGTCCAATTCCCTTCTTTGGTTTTCTTTCCTCTTTAAGGAGCAACAGAAAAACTAAACTGACCAGTGTTGCCAAGGCAACCCTTCCTTCCCTTCGAGTTCCTTCAGCTACTCCATGTTTTTTCCTACTTCCAGTTTGCTTTCTGAGCGTATCTAAGGCTTTTTGGGATATCCTGCCATAAAAGAGAGCTGAAATTTGTAAGAACATACAAAATAAAGAGATGACATTAACCAAACTGATCATCGCAATGCAGTAAAAGCAACCTCATTTTGAATAGTACCTCCTCCAATTTGTAAATGGGAATACCAATCAATAACTAAGACAGGCAAGTAAATGCATGTCTGACAGACATGCAAAAAGTGGAAATGGCATCAGGAGTCAACTTGAGTATTCCGTTCATCCCTTCTATATAGTAAACACTATCAGTTCTGAGGACCTAAAGGCATGAGTGACCAGTTGTCTGCAAGAATTAGGTCCTGTTGTTCTTCATGGTTAAGAGAAGAATTGAACTGTGTCTAAGCCTGCAAAGGATAAGATTTTGTTCTGCTGCACTTTTTTACTTCTTTGCTACTCTCATGTCTTTGAGCTTGAAGATCGACCATAACATCTTACGATATATACTACGCTATGAACGGTTTCCAAGAACTTTCTACTGTAAAATAGGACTAACCTCATGGATTTGATTAGGATATCCTTTGCCTTGTCAAGTTCACCAACTGCTTCCGAAAGATTCTTGTTTCTCAGTGTATCAAAATTTTGCAGCACTGCCTTTGCCAGCTGAGTCATTGTGCTAGCATTCTGTGCATAAGAACAGAAGCTTCAGTCTGAAGATTATTCTAGATATTTATCTGACTTATCGTCCTGAAAACCAGGCAGTAAGTCTTACAATATAGCGAATGTATAATACATGACATCTTAGACTAAGACTAGCACATCCAAAATAGGGTCTCATTTCCTGACAAACTTATGAGTTAAATGTTCAACAGTTGACCTGAATATGGTCCTCAGGGAGTAGGCTTTTTTGAGTTTCAAGGCACCTGCAACAAAGGAAAAACATTATTTAGGTTATTCAAGCCCTGTTCATTCATGGTTTCCACAGGCAGATCAGATAAGCTCATCATGGCTCACCTTTCAAGAAGTTCCTGCGCATCACCAAATTTCCCAGCTAAAAGTAGGGTCTGGACTAGCCCTTGAGCTGCCATCAATGTGTCCATAGATTTCCAACCCTGTTGGACGAGAAGAAATCATTTTTGACACAACAAGCCAGCAGTTATTCGTTTTAGACCTATGTCATACTCTTTAACTATATTCCTGTCATGCAAATGGAAATGGAAAGTTGTAGCTGGCCAGATTAAAATAGTTACTAGATAGAGAATGCATAACCCTCGGGAAGCAAAGAAGGTAACATGAAAAGGTAGGAATGATAGGACGTATAGAAGCCATGGAGCTTATAGATGGATGAATTATAAATTAGCAAAAGTGAAGAGAAGAGCATTCTTAAATACTATGCAGACAAGCATAGGAAATAGAACATGGAATGAGAGGAGGGGTCATGGAAAAGATGAAACACAAAAAAAAGATAGAAAGAGCAACCAAAACAAGAGGTAAAAGATTACAAGTGGACCAACTAGACATATAATCTAAGATAACGAAGGAAGATTATAGCAAACTTCGAGCCTTATTTGTAGGCAGAAGTAAAGACAGAAATAAGCATCAAACATGGGAGTAAGACCTTTGACAATTCCATTATATGCAGGACCTTTCTGTGCACATTTTCAGCTTCCACAAGGCGATTGGACCTCGAATATATCTAGGACAATAGCAAGAATGGATTGAGTTATGCAAAAAGATAAAGTGATTACATAAAATTGAGAAACATTTAAACAAACCTGCCCTTTTGTTTTGCATGTAGAAAATGCAATACAAGTGTATGAAATAACAACAGTCGATCACCTTATATACTACACTGCCACAAAAGATTCTGATAACTAAAATGACGGGGAGACAACCTGAGCAAGATACCGCAATCTCCTTACACATGTAATTGATTCCCCTTGTCCAGCTTCCTAATAAGGATGCAGTCAAAATGTAACATTAATTTAGAGAGATCAGAAAAACCACAATCACGCAAGTAAGTGTTATACAGCAGGGTACCTCTGTTATCCTGATGGAATCCTGAATGAGAACTTCAGCATCCGCTTGTTTTCCCATAAGAAATATCACCTGAGTTGCAGCCACATAGCAGTCTAAACATCAGAAAAGAAACAGGGAAACCAAGGGAGGGAAGAAAAGGGGAAGCAGAAAGAGAGAGGGAGAGAGAGAGAGTAATTATAGACACCAAGAAAGTGGAAGCTACTGGTTCTGGAAGGATTTGTGATAAACACACCAAAAATTGGGGAAAGAAAAAATAAGTGCAAAGATGTTGCCCACAAGCCAAGGATTCTATCAGTACAATATCTTGCACATGATTACTAATGAATTGTAATAAGAATATCTGCAAGAAACAACAACACAAATGTTCTGCAACCGCACACTTTCTTGCCATTGATCTATCCCACCTAACATGCCAAAATGAAAGAAATGGGAACTATCTATGAGATGAGCCTACAATAACAACAGATACGTTTTCCCTCAAAAAACTTACTGTACATTAAACATACCCATGTATTCCACAACATTAACTTGGTTGATACCAGTCCTACTAAAATCTAACTGGTACAAGTTACTTGAAAATCTAAGCAGGTAAAAAAGTGAGGAACAGTACTATTAATGGCAATATTTCACCTTCAGATGTTAAGGATGATTTACTTCAACAACAAAGACCCGTCCCAAACTAGTAAATAAGTGAATGCAGTATGAAATGAAGACCTAAGTAACAAAAAACCAAACTAGCAAAACAATGTAGACCAACCACTAGAATTATAAAAAGAGTATACCGTCCCAAGATGATACATAGTATCGGCATAGTCTGGATTATTGAATCCTAGAACACGCCCCTTTATCTGACAAAATTAAAACAGGAAAACAGGGTTAAGAGTTTACAATCCAAAACGAAATAATAATGCCATGCATGAAAATGAAAATACAGTTCAAAAAGTAATCCAGAACAACTGCCCAACTGTTCATGGCATCTTAGACAGCAATTGTACGCACCTTCAAAGAATGCTGCACAAGGAAAACAAAAAGAGGCAAAAGAAAATATATCAGTGTATGTTTATAGACGAATAGGTAGATAGACAGTGGTTACGCATAAATAATTTAGCAAGCCTACATGGGAACATGCACAACCAAAAAGAATGACAGGCATAGGTAAATACACCTGTCAGCAAACACTAGTCGAGAGATTTTGTGAACATTATAACCATTTTCTGTACAAGAATGGACTTTACACGGTAAATTGTTTAATATTTGTCATCAACGCTAAGCTCCAACTATAGTTAATATTTTGTGTACCTATTTTATTTGCATTCTAAACACTTCAGATCACGTCTTGGCAATAGCTGTAACTCTGCACGTACACATGTCCCATCAACAGAGACAGACGAAAGTCTCCACATGAATCCATTTATGCATGGTTATCAATGGGTAAATTGATCCTGATGAACGGTCAATGAATTGCCGGATGCAAACTACATATCATATTTATCTACTGCTAAAAGGTCCAAGAACGAAAAAAACAAACTGGAGTATTTCTTTCACACTATTATTCATTTTGCATTTCCAATATTTACTTTACTACTAAAAGGTCCAAGAACGAAAAAAAACAAACTAGAGTATTTCTTTCACACTATTATTCATTTCACATTTCCCGTTTCTAATTTTACCTATCTACTTTCCGATAAGTTTTAAGGATCAGTGACTGCCCCTAGTTTGGATGTATACCAATCATCCATTTGGAGTATTGATCAACCGTGTACAGCAACAATTAGCCCTATTGGAGAGTGGAGACACTATTCTTATCAGATAATATTATCTGCAAAAACACAATAGGAAACTAAATGGAAACAGGGCAAGAAGTACAAGAAAGAAATCTTTCAAATAAAGACATCGTGGCCAATGGAGTCAAAATCGCGCTTTTGACTGCATTGGTCATGGCAAAGAAAAGAGCAATGTGCAGACCAAAAGTGACGAAGAAATCCACTAAGGATTCTAAGTGGTTCATCCAAGCACCGAATTTGATTTCCTTGTTAAAAATCTTCTGACTTCAGTATTCGAAGCCTTAAGCATTCCTAATCTTTCCCATGCACAACTATTTAGGAAACTTTTACTACTGTAGAGCTCTTACATATAAAAAAATCAAAGGCAGACTATTATATCAAAATCACGATGAAGACTCTTTTCCAGGTGGTTAAGCAGCATGCAATGTTAAATCAAGGTAAGTCCTATATGACTTGGCCAAACCAATTATACACCCAGAATCTGCCAACAAAGATTCAAATCTCAACACAACACAACCACAAGCAATGCTACATGGACATGGAGAAAAAATCCATATTCAACAATTCATAGTAGCATATGCGATTCCATTTTTGGAATGAATCGTCAAGGAAGTGCTTGCAAATGTCCATTACCTCATAACATTTAGAAGCTTCTTCCCATTTCCGTTGAGCAAGGTAGAACTGACCCATGTTATGAAGAGCAGCACCTACACTATGATGAAATATACAGTACCATGAGTACAAATGATTAACCACAACTTGATGGACATAAATGCATATATGTTTTCAAGTACTAGAATAGAGACCACAAATTCGTGAATGATATTAAAAACATAAGGCATGTGCATGTTGTAGCAATCAAATTGGACCTAGAGTACTAAACTAAGATTTTAACATCGAGCAAAAGATGCATGAGCAACTCACAAGTCAAAGGACTATCTCAAAGAATGCTTGAAAGGAATGTATGAAATTAGCCATCAGTTGAATAATTGATTAGGCACAGATGAAAGGAAAAAGAATATAAAGTTCCTTCCACCATTCAATATGGCGGAAGAAATCTTGATACTAGATTGAAACAGTTTGAGATTTTCCTAGGTTCCATATAGATTGACGGGCACTTCTTAATTGATTTCTCTTTCCTTGACTGGTCAAACAAATAAAAAAATAACGAGGCTTATTTAAGAAGTTCTGCCCATTTCTTTTCTATAGCTCTATAACCAAGTTATTGAAACGCTGCGCCTGCGTCTATATACAATGATGAGGGCCAGCATTATAAGACCATACTGGCATAAAATTTAAGCCAACATATATGGGGTACAAAATGACACCTACCGAATGTCCTCTGGACCAAATGATTCTTCCAGTATTTTTATGGCCTCCAAATACAGAGGTTCTGCTTTACTGAATTCCTTCTGAACTCTATAGAGTTCTGCCTGAAAAGATAAAAGACGCAGTTACCATGATCATGACCTCATATCCTCGGATGACTCTAAATTTCTCTTAATACATAAATGTTCCTGGATCACAAACTTGAGAAAAAACAATTATTCAAGCTTAACAAGAATCGTAAGTTTTTATCTCATTTAGACGAATTAAAAGCCCAAAATTTTCAACAAAACTCTTCCTGCCAATTTCATTGTACACAAATACTAAAAAATATATCAAGGATAGTTAACTACTTAACTTCTCTTAAAATAACCCATCAATCTAACTGTCACATTCATTTAAATCACGCACCAAATTGTTACAAGCAGATGCAACGTGGGGATCTTTCTCTCCAAAACCTTCTTTGGCTTCTTTTAATGCTGAAAGAAAGAGAGTTTCTGCATTGTCCAATTTCCCCTGTGAAGAGAACACACAAAGAGTCTCCCATGAACCCCTTATCATAACTGCTGATAGAATTGAGACAACATAGAATAAGAGGAATGAGGAGATGCTTGCCTGAAGGAAAAATTCCCTTCCATTGTCTGTAAAAACTCTCCACTTAGACGTATGAATATTTGATACAACAGAACCATCATCAATTTTCTGTAAAGCAGTCGTCTCAGCAGCTTCCAATTCAGTTTTAGAATTACTTTGTATGGAAGCGTCGGCTAGTACAGGGTTGTCGTTCATCCCGATGAAAACTATTGCAAAGGTGTGGGAATCATTAGCCGAAAGATTTAGAAAATATAGAACTTGAGAACTAAACTGCTTAGTGTCACACAGGTAAGCAAATCTATACCAGATTGTCCTGCTGCAATAATCCATAGAAGAGAATGATTGTCCTTACTCCACCAACTTGATCTGCCAAAGCAAAATTTACCGGACGGAATGTTCCTGCCTGTGAGAGAAAAGAGCATTCAATTGCTTGGAAATGCATCCAGTACGAAACAAAAAGCATGAAAACAAAATTTCACAGTGCATCTACAACCAAGCCTTCATGAGAAGGAATTCAGTAACAGAAAAAGAACTAACAACAACAATTCCAAATCGAATGGAGCATCAAGAAGCCAAAGCTAAATATCAAGACTGCTAACAGACTCGCTTTTCAATAATTCGGCTGAAGTAGTTAGAGAAGCGGAAAGTTCTGATGACGGATTCCCTCGATATAAAACGGATTAAGGTAAACAAGGGCGATGTCGATTAACTGTCTCTCACTTACCCGACTGTGAAATGGCTGAAACACCGATGGCGGTTACAGCGGAAGAAGGATTTGCGCTTCGAGAAGAAAGTCGAATCCTTCCCGCTAGAGGCCCTGCTACTCGTCGCACCAGATGCATGGCTGGTTAAGCTGTCTGCAGATGTTCTCAAGCCTCAACAGGGTGGGGGTTATGAGGGTTTTTGTGCCTTTCTTTCGTCTCTTGATGACAGGATAGGAGTTAGGGTGTCGGTTCGGGTGGGGTTCGCTTACCCGAACTGAAACTCGTAAAAATCTGAAAATCCGAAACTGAAAAATCACTTAAAACCGAACACGAACCCGATAAAGACTTGTGGGTTCTGGTTACCCCAAACACGAAAATTTCTTATCGGGTTTGGGTTCTGTTAAAGCAAAACCGAAACTCGAAAACTCGAATCCATAAGAATACGGGTTGAGCTCTATTCATTGGAGGTTTTAAGCCGAAACCGAAAAATCGATAAGCAAAACCGAGCCTAAAACCGAAAAACGCTAAACAAACCCGAACCCGAAAAACCGAAAATGTATATAATCGGGTCGGTTTCGGGTAAACCCGAATGGACACCCCTGATAGGAGTTATGCATACTTGCAGATCTGGTCCCTTAAATTTAAGTAGGGCGGGATCTAAGGATAAAAAATAAACGTCTTTTATTTTTTTTTTAATTAGCTTTTAACTTCATCGTTTTAATTTGGATCGCAGACTGTCTCATCCTTTTTTTTTTTTTGCTGATGATCATGTTATTTTTGCTGAAGCATCGCGGGAACAGGTAGTAGCAATCATGGATTGTCTGGATCGGTTCTGTGAGGCCTCAGGGGAGATTGTCAGCAAGGAGAAATCGAGAGTATATTTTTCCAAGAATGTCACCCGCGATAAATGTCGCATGATAAGTGAGGGACTTGGAATACCAATGACTCAGGACCTGGGTCGTTATTTGGGAGTTCCAGTCCTCCATGGCCGAATTACTCGCCAGACTTATCAATACCTCATTGACCGTGTGGATCAACGGTTAGCTGGGTGGAAAGCTAAGAACCTCTCCCTCGCAGGCTGGGTCAACCTGGCACTGTCCGTTCTCAATGCTATTCCTACCTACGCAATGCAAAGCTCGGTGCTCCCCGTTTTCGTATGCTACATCGACCAGCGCATTGGAGCTTTTATATGGGGATCTTAATAGGGGCGGCGGCGTATTCACCTTGTGGATTGGGCTACTATTTGCTTGCCTAAAGACCAGGGGGACTGGGATTACGGAACGCGAGGGACTTGAACACGGCCTACCTTGTGAAACTTGCCTGGACTATTCTTAAGAACCCCGATGAACTTTTGGGTACGGATCCTTACGGAGAAGTACCTGAAAATCGGTCATTATGGAGTTGTTCGTGCTCGCAGGAAAACAGGTTGCTTGGTGCTGTGGCGGGGAATACGACAGGTGTGGAAGCTTATGGATGGAGGTGCCCGGTGGAGTGTTCGAGATGGGCGTACCACAGCGTTCTGGAAGGCTCGCTGGCTAGATAGTGGTGTCATCCTGGCCGTTTAAACCATCAACATTGACGCCTCCTTTCCCGCTGAGGCCTGCGTGGCGAACATGAACACAGCCGAGGGTGAGTGGAATTTGGATCTTATTGCTAGGTACTTACCCATGGACTTGGTCTTGCAGGTTAGCGGCATGCCTCCTCCACAGACAAACCTTGGCGATGACGAGCTGGTTTGGGACCTTGAGCCGAAAGGCCAATTCACCCTCAAATTAGCGTATCGACTAGTGGCGGAGATCGATGGCAAGGAGTCGAATAGCAACTGGAAGGCTCTCTGGCGGTGGCCGGGACCAAGCAGAGTTCAGCACTTTTCTGGCTGGTGAGCCACGGCAAACTCCTCACCAATGTCGAGCGTACCGAACGACACATTGCGGTTGATGCAGCCTGCCAGCAATGCCGCATCGACGAGGAATCCTTGGAGCACATCTTGCGCCGCTGTCCGTTTGCAAGGGAGGTCTGGCAGGAGCTTCTTCCTGCGGTGGTCGAGCATAATGATGAGCGCCCTTTCCACCAATGGTTCACGGAGTCCATTGCCTGCCCCGATAACCAGGTTCGCTTTGGGTTTACGTGCTAGTTTTTATGGCGTGCACGTAATGGTTACATTTTTTCAGACATCGTAGAAGCCCCTAACAAGTTATCGCAAAGGATCCGTGCCTGGGAGGTCGTCGGTCAGCAGAGTAAAACATCGGATCAAAATTTATCACTGGGGAGGTCAGGGTCGCGTCGAGACGTGGCCATGGGGTGGAGATCGCCTTCACCCAAACGACGATGTTTTCATAATAGCTGGTGGCCAGATAAATCCGGTCAGATCTCGGCTTTGACCGGTTGCCGGCTAAGACTAAAACATGGCTAGCTGAACCGCTTGTATGCAAATTGTGGTCTGACCTGGCCCGACCGTTTGGTCGGCTTAACAATCTATGGGAGGACTGAGTGGACAGAGTAGTGCTATGGATGTCACTTAATTATTAGAATTGGTAGAGGCGTGCCACTGATCTTTATTTAGGGCACCTCGTGCCACCAAACTCGCTAATATGTGCAACAACACAATTACTGTTAAAGTGAGAAGAATATTTTGTTTTTCAAATTTCAAAATTAGTCCTTCTACTTTTTCATTATACAATAAATCCTTTTGACTTGTTAAAAAAAAGACTTATCATAAACTTCATTTTTCTTAAAGGAAATATTTTGTAGGCCTAAGTTTATATTTATGTTCTAAGTTTGTTACTAACTATTGTAGTTTTTCTAGCTTATTTATTACTTGGTCATTAGTTGTCTCTTCTTGTTATAAATTTTGTTCGATTAGTGGAATGTGTCTAATTCTCTTTAATTGTGTTCTGATCATCATTCTTTGGTCTTCATGTATTGATGATTGGTTAGGTTTCATTTTAAGTGATTTTAATGGTGTCTCTAATTGGATTAGGAGTTTATAATAAATTTTCTATAGTAATTACTTCTTTATTTTTGAAAGTTAAACTATGATGATTGTTTGTTGGGACATAATTTATCTAATAAGTTACTGAAAATGGATTGCTATTTTCTATAATAAAATTCTCTCTCTTTAATTCATATTTTATAATAATATAAGAGTCAAGATTGTCATCTGATAGACTTAATCCTTGTTGTAAGATATCAAATTTAATTATTTCTACTCCTAGATTCACTGTTCCCTTTGTTGTAATGCTTTCGTCTTCATTAATTGTCTAACTTACAGACTTTCCAGATATGTTCAGGGATAACAAACCCTTCTGGTTGTTCCATATAGATTTCTTTGTCCAGATTACCATTCAAAAGAGCATTTTTAACATCCATTTGGTGTGTCACGAGATTGTTCAATGCAGCAAGAGCAATCATGATACGAATGGATTTTACTCTAGATACTGGCGAATAGGTATTGAATAAATCTTTATTCTCTCTCTGCCTATAGCCTTTAACTACTAGGCGAGCTCGGAACCTTTCGATTGCACCATCAGGTTTCCATTTCGTTTTTAGAGCCCATTTATTACCTAAGACTTTGCAACCAGGAGGTAAGTCTGTTAGATGCCAAGTCTTATTAGCTTCCAACGAATCCATTTCATCTATAACGGCCTCATTCCAAAAATCTGCATCTATGGAAGTTAATGCTTCCTGCAAATGTTTGGGATCTTCGAGGGTGTATAATGTATTAAAGTCATCACCAAAATCTTTGGAGATTCTAGCTCTTTTACTTCTTCTGAGTTCATCCTCAGATCCAACACCCCCACTAGTTCTGTTATCTCTAATAGCAGGTAGTACATTACCCTCACTATTTCTCGTTTTAAATGGATATCGACTCTCAAAGAAATCAGCATCATTGGATTCTATTATAGTACGGGCCTTCAAATCATAGAATCTATATGCCTTGTTGTTGGCTGCATAGCCCACAAAGACACACTCATATGCTCGACTAGCTAGCTTAATCCTCTTAGGATCTGGAATTCTTACGTAGGCTAGGCAGCCCCACGTTATTAAATAGGACATATTAGGTGGTATATTCTTCAAAATCTCGTAGGGTGATTCTTTTCTATTAGTTTTTGGAAGAAGATTAAGCACATGGCAAACCGTCAACAAAATATCACCCCACCAAGAGGATGCAGCTCCAGAATTGAGCATAATAGTCACAACTAATTCTGTATATGTCCTATTTTTCCACTCATCTTTACCATTCATTTCTAGTGGGTATGGTGTCGTGCTTTCTTGAATGATACCGTGTGAGCTATAGAATTCCTTGAAGGGATTAGAATCGTATTATGATCCTCTATCACTCCTAAGTCATTTTATTTTTCTGTTGCACATATTTTCAAATTCAACCACAAATACCTTGAAATATCAAGGGCCTCACTTTTGTTTTTCATCAAATAAACAAAGGAATAATCAGATCAATCATCTATGAAAGTGATAAAGTATCTCTTGCCAGGCCTAGTTAACGTCCCATATAGTTCACAAATATCAAAATGAATCAGATCTAGGGGTTCTAGTTCTCTACTCATAGATTTATGGGGCATTTTTGTTATCTTTGCTTGGCTACAGAAATCACATTTATCAAATTCATTCAATAAGTGTTTAGGGATGTATCCTAAGTTGCTCAAATTCTTCATAATTCGTGTGTTCACATGACACAAACGAGCATGCCAAACATTAAAATAACACATCATGTAAAATGAAGAATTCATCTTATTGCTTTCAACATTCAACTTGAACATCTCATCACAAGCATAACCCTTTCCCACAAAAGTCACATTCTTAGTATGGGTATACAAGTCTACCCCAATAGTTTGAGTGAACCCAGCCTTATTCAAAAGATAATCTGAAACAAGATTCTTCCTTATCTCTAGAGTGTGCAAGATGTCCTTCAAGCTCATCGTCTTATAAGAGGCAAAGCTTAGCTCCACATCCCCAAAACCAGCAACTATAGTGGTGTGGGCAGTACCTAGCAACACTTTTTTATTAGCAGGTGCCTCATTGTACGTCTTTAACATAGCACAATTATTGCATACGTGCTTCGAGGCTCCTGTATGCAGCCACCATCCTTTTGAGTTACCGGCAAGGTTAACTTCAGCGATCATGTCGTTGATCGTGGCCACCAAATCCACTTCTGTCAAGTTAACCCTGGCAGGAGCATGGTTAGGCTTGTTCCTGCACTTTTTTGTCATATGACCTGGTTTACCACAGTTATAGCAGATAAACAGTGTATCATTCTTAGAGGATTAGGTCGTGACACTTTGGTTACCTCGAGAGGCACCATTCTGGTTGGGACGGACCTGTTGCTTTTGTTTCTTGAACCCCTTTGGATTTAGCTTCAGAGCTCTGGGTGTGGACCATCTAGCACTGATTAACAATACCTCTTCTTTCATATCGTGTTTTCCAGCTTCTTCCTCTATCCTTAGGCGAGTAATCAAACTTTCTAGTGAAATTTTTTTAGTTTTATGCCTAAGAACATTCTTAAAATCTTTCCACGAAGGGAGCAGCTTATCAATTATGCAAGCAACTTGAAATTGATCATCAAGAGGCATACCTTCAAAAATGATCTCATGGGCTAGTTTCTGAAGTTTGTGAGATTGCATCTCGATAGACTTGTCGTCCACCATCTGGTAGCGCAGGTAGCGGCTGATAGCATACTTCTTGGCTCAAACATCCTTTGTGTCGTACTTCTTTTGGAGAGTATCCCAGACCATCATCGCGGTGTTGTTTTAATCCGCGTAGTAGTCGTAGAGATCATCTGCCATCCCATTGAGGATGTATTTCTTGCACAAGAAGTCCTCTTCCTTCACTTTTGCGACAGCAACCCTCTCCATATCATTTGCTTCCTCGTTCAATTCCACCGGCATGTTGGTGAGACCATGCGCCAACTTTTTGATCGTTAGATAGAACATCATCTTCTGCCTCCAGCGCTGGAAGTTGACTCCCAGGGAGCGAAAGGGCCGATTGATATCGACAACACCAGATCCGGTCGTGTTGTTCTGTTCAGTCGCCATAGTAGCAGCACGACGTCTTAAAATTGTTAGTGACAGAATAACAGAAAACCGAGGTTACCAAAATCTGGCTGAGTCGCGAACTAGGTCGCGCTCTTTAATACGTTCGTGGCACTGTCTCTTTGCTCACAATAGTTCTTACTCGCCGATCGCCTCCAGGATAAAAACACATTCTCTCTAACTCGTCGGTTTTGTGCGAAAAACCAGAGTTCCTTTGAATTCACTCTCTTTCGTGTTTCTGCTCATTTGTGGTGTATTGTAGAGGGCTTAGGATACGACTATTTATAGTAGCCAGACCCCCACGAATATACCCTCTTGTTTGATGAATAAGTTGCATTAATTAGGGAGATAATAACCCCGTTAATGTAATGCGTCTGTTAAGATAATTCTCGGTAGGATGATCTCTTGAATATTCCTTTTTAATCAATTATTTCGTAACTATTAAGGATACAATATAATTGATTAATAAATTATTAATCTCGGAATATCTCCAAAAAATATTAGTACCCGCCACCCACCCACTCGCTCGACCGACAGACCAGTCAGACTAGGGGGGGCATCCGGTTCGGTAAACCCGAACTGAACCAAAACCAAACTCGGCCGAACCGAAACCGAAATCATTCTATTCGTTCGAAATTAGGAAATGAAATGTTGATAGTTCGGAAAACAAGGTTCTTTCAACCGAAACGAGATTCCGAACTCCCAACTGAAAAACCGAAATAAATAAACATAAGCCCAAAACTAATCCCTGTTTTTGTTTCCCCCAATTCCCTAAGCCCAAATGAAACCCCACTAACTCCCTAGCCCAAATGAAACCCTATCTCACTAAGCCCAATCAAAACCCTAACACAATAAGCCCCCACATACAACCCTATCCCCTCTCCCTCTCCCTCTCCCCTGCCTCTCGATTCTCATCTCTCTGAACTGCCGCCTCCGCCAGCCAACCTCCAATCAAAACACGCTTCTCATCTTGTGCCTTCAACCTCCAACCTGCCTCCCCTTCAATCCCATCTCGCCGTCGACTTCGCTTCACCGCCTCTCGCTCCCATCAAATCCAGCGGCGGCCTGAGCGGCGGAGGGACTATCGTCGACGTGACCGCCCTGCCTCTCTATTCCTCTCAGTTTTCAATCTCTCGAGTCTCGAAGCTTTCTTTTCCTCCTGGATCAAATCAGAGATGAAGTTACTGAATCTAGATAGAGAAAATCAAGCCAAAATCAGCATGCATGCTTGGATCTAAACCCTACTAACCTCTAACATTCGTTGTCGCCATCACTGGGTTCTTCTCTCCGTGACTTCGTCAATCTCCATCGCCGCCTGCACTTGTGTTGCTCTCTCCATCAATCGCCGTTGCCGCCGAGTCCAACAATAGGAGGAGAAATCGCCGCCGAGTCCAACAACGGGAGGGGAAATCGCCGCCGCGCTTTGTGCTCTGAGGGGAGAGAGAGAAGAAGAAAGAGAGAGAGAGAGAGAGAGAGAGAGAAGAAGAAGAAGAAGAAGAAAGAATTCTTCTGCGTAATAGAATGGTGAATGGAGAGATACTCTAAGTGGGAGAGAGAGAGGATAAGTGGGGCTGTGAGGGAGAGAATGAGGGTTTCTGGAACTTCGGTGGGGGGACCAAAACAGATCCGAACTGAGATATATTTTGGTTCGGATGAATCGAATCGAAATATATTTCGGTTCGAATTCGGTTTGACCCATGCACTACTTCGGGGAGTCGGTAATCATGTGTTCGGTTCGGTTTGATCCGAACTGACCGAATGCCCACCCCTAAGTCAGACGGACAGATGGCGTGTGTGTGGTGGTCCGTTAGGTCCTCCCTCTCCCACAAAAGTGGGTCACCCCAATAGGCATGCCCTTAGGTGAGAGAACTCAATCTTTATACCTATTTGGTAGGAGTTCTCCCACCCATGCGTTATTCTTGCCTTAGGACATATAACTTTGAAAGCTATTCACTAGTTCATTTCCAACAATAATCGGGTCAACGTATTACCAAGCACCACTTACCGTCTACGACAAATCGACAATGGAGCTCTTGATTCCATTAAAGATCCTTATTGGGTGGGGGGGGGGGGGGAGTTGAAAGTTACCAGCATGGTGGGGACGTATGTGAAATACGTGAGTCTTCCAAGGCAATTGCGCAATTGAAGAAGCTAGTTAGATGGAATGACAACATAATGGGTGCAAATATCAAGCCATCAACCCTTCTGCACTACTGCAGCTTCACAGTCTTCTTGATACCATCAAAGGATCGATTAATGCGCTTATGAACAATTGGAAGCATCGCTAGCGTAGGATATATAATAGAGTGTTCATTGTTGTCTAACAATAAGTGGAGACACTTCTTCTACATCGATCCAGGATGAATACGGGTGGGTTTGGGTAAGTCAACCTTAAGAGCAAGGTTGGGCTTAAGGGGAGAGGCATGTTACAAGTTCGTGCCATCGTAGCATTTTGGATATTACTAGGCTTGTGTATCTTTATTTAGTTATGTGTATCAATTATTATTTGACATGTTTAATGTTAACACTAATTATTATATTTTTTCAAGTTGGAATAGGATTTGTAGTAATTATCTTAGGATTTAATTAATGTTTCTCGTAAGGGAAGAAAAGGAATTCTAATGGAAAAATGATGAGGGAGGCTAAAGCCTTAGGTAGTGAACTAGTGATGGCAATGGGCGGGGCGGGTACCTCAATATCCATACCTCGTCCCACGCTACTGTGGTCAGGGCAGGTAAAATTCACGCGGGTACGGGGTGGTGCGGGTCGACCCACGCTTACATGTTATATGAACAAAAATACACGCAAGTCTTAGTTTTTAAGATAAAACAAATGAGAAAACACTTTATGAATGAAAAATAGTGATAATAGAATGAGAATTGAGTCTAGGGGTGGGCAACCGGTTCGGTAAATCCGAACCGAAATCGAATTAATGCTATTCGGTTCAGAATTCGGAAGGAAAATATAGATAGTTCGGAAACCAGGGTTCTCTCAACTGAACCGAATTTCCAATCGAAAAACCGAAATACTATAATTGCAAGCTCCAAATGGTGGATTTTTATATTTGTAGTTGTTTTTAGACTTAAATATTTGAAATGTTTTATGACTTATGTGTTGAAAAAATTGATTTTATCATTGATGATGAATATAATTACATATTTATTGTTTATATTAGGGGTAAAAATAATTTAAAAGTGAGAAGTTACAAGTAGTTTAACAAATTCGATTTTGTGTGAAAAACCGAACCGAATTATAATTTGGTTTAAACCGACCAAATCGAATTATAATTCGGTTCGAATTCGATTTGAGGTTTGGGAGAATTCGGAGACCCGATATTCATAATTTTAGTTCGGTCAAAATCGAATCGACCGAATGCCCACCCCTAATTGAGTCTAACAAGTTAAAAGATCGAGTGTAACTAGTTGAAGAAAAGTCAAAATAGGAGAAATATGTATTGATACGGTAAGAAATTGAGAGCCTTCGCTACGACCCAAAAGTTTTGACGGAAGGTGGCCAAGAACGGGGCGTGGCGTGTCAGAAGTAGATACTCATGCCACGTCCCATGGTACTGCGGGGTGGGTTCAAATTGCCACAACTAGCCTTAGGCGAGAAGGAAAGAAATTTGGTCGTGTAACTCTATAAATAGGTACATAGACGAAAATTGGAACCCAATTTATGTTTTCTTTGTCTTTGTTATTTCTTTCGTTTAGTTTAGTAGTTTTGTAGTAATTCTGGAGTTGTTCTCGTGATTAATGAGATCCTCTACTTAAGAGTTTCGGCAAACCTATCCTAAAACCTGAAGATCAAACATTCACTGCAAAGAATTTAGTCTCGAAAGCACATCTACGTAACAAAATCTTTGGGTAAATTATAAGTTTGGTCACTAAGTTTACTAAAAAGGTTCACATTTGGTCAGTGAAAATATTTAATTTCATTCGTAATCACTAAAATAGTTAAATATTTCATGGTTGGTCACTCATCGTCCAACTTCGTTAATTTTGACTGATTTGGCAGTTAACTCTCATTCAACGGTCAACTACGAGATTGACTGCCTACATCAGCTAAAATTAACATAGTTGGACGGAGAGTGATCATACTTGAAATGTTTAACTAGTTCAATGACCACGAATAAAATTAAATATTTTCAGTGACTAAACATGAACTTTTATAGTAAATTCAGTGGTCAAACTTGCAATTTATCCCAAAATCACCAATATTGATTTTTGAATGATACAAGGAGTTTTACTTTGTAGATTAACATTATTAGCCAGCGGTGTTTTCGACTTTTTTGCATCGTTGTCTGATAAGGAAAAAGATGGGAAATTTAGTTGAAAAAGCAAAAAAAAATGGTGGAATTCACGTTGCCTTTGACCTTACATCGTGCTTACCATTATCTGATAATATAATTCACAACCTTTTTCTTTTTGTGTTAGCATCATTCAATTCTCCTCAACTACCACCCATCTTCATCATCCTGCCTCTAATTTAGCTGGTGCGTCGATCGACCTACCTAAGGCTACGAAACGACACCATTACTCATTCTCACAGTCACAGAACAATGGCTAATATCAAACAAAACACACCAACCCGCAACCAAAGGTACGATTGATTTAACTAAGTAACCAACATTTTCTACCAACTGATGAGGGCATGCAAAAAAGTTGAAGAGGAATACGTTGAGTAATATCCAAATGAAAACAAACTTGCTAGTTATCGTTTCATCATTCACACTTCCACAATATTCGAAACAAAATGCAAAAATCCAACAAAAAATGGGTAGAAATGACTCTCTCTTCTATCTCAATAAAATTTTGAACACAAATCAAACAGGATTAAACCTTTTCTTCCACAAGAATGAAATGAACAATGATATCAATTTTGAACTAATGCAAATGAAATATTGGATCAAAGAAGTAAGGAAAGAGAAGAAGCTCTGCTCTGCACGCCCCAATTCGGTGTTTACCACTTTTCTTCCCGTTGTTGCAGCAGCAGCTAGCTCAGCTGTCCTGTCCTGATCACGCGGATGGTGGCGCCCCTGAATCAACCGAGTAAGTTTGCTGCGACGTTTCATCCACAATGCCACCATCTTGCGAGCCGCTGGATCGACAAATCTCGTCAATCCTGCTACTCACCTCAGCCATGGAAGGGCGTCTGTCTGGATACTGAGCACTACAATCAATGGCAAGCTGCAACAACTGAACCATCTCTTCCTCCACATTCTGGTAGCGAAGCAGCTCGAGATCAAACACCTCGGCGGT